GCATTCGGGCTGGTTTTTTCTTTCACCCTGCTGGAAAATAAACCTAAAAGCTCATGGCGTAGGTTTGATAGCTGTAGACCTGAAGACAAACACATATGCAAATAACTCACAAGCTAGTGAGGTGATCCACTTAACTATTGTGTTTTTGTCTGGCTTGCTCTGATGCCAGTGCACTTCTCTTTGTGATGACTCAGCAGCATTGTGCATACAGTGCATGCATGCCAATGGATACATGTGATTAAGACCATGGCTTGTTCAATGGAATTAGAGTTGTGTATCGGCCAAATAGTGCTGACTGCGCCTGTCAGAGGAGAAGCAGGCAGTAGATGTTTGAGCGGGGGGGGGTTAGCATCGCTACCGCTAACCAGGGAACATTTCCTTTTGAGTCACGATGGCACATCATCTCATTTCCTCCCTCTTGTCAATTCTTAGTGCTCTCGTTTACCCTTGATCCCTCTGTCTTTCTAGCCGCCTCACATCTTCTTCTCCTTGTTCAGTTTTCGGCTTTCTGTTTTTCTCTGTCACTCCACGAGAAAAAAATACTCTATGCTGTTACCATGGCAACTGCATCTGTGAGCTGAGCCAGTACTCTTCCATAGACATGCGCTCTCCCCCCATACTAAGATTTAAGCTTACCTCTGATGAGAAAGATGCAGGAGGAATGAAGAGAAGAGGCTGCGCTTGTTAGCGTTTCATAAACCCTCCGAGGGAGACATTGTGCTTTTCTCTGTGATGAACCATTGTTACCGATGGCAGATATCAAAGACAGACATTATCAGTGAACTGCACACAGTGTACAACAAAGGAAACACGATGCACTGTACGGTGCTTTCTTCTCCTCTGCAGAGGTCTCGCTCGCTAGTTTTACAGAGGTAATTGTGGGTAATGGTGTGATACAGGAAATTAATGCATTTAAAGGGCTCCACTGAAATCAATCTATATTAATTTGGCAACTAATCTGATGTCATGAGGCGATGTCTAAATTAAGGGTCCCCATTTTCCACAAACTAAATTAGGATTACGTGATTTGCATTTTTAAAGTGGTCCAAGTATGTGTTTGGGGGGTTTTCCCTTTCCTATAATGTGTTATATAGATGTTGGTGCATGTAAATGGTCTGCAAAGGCTAAAATCCCTCCAACACACTTCCCCCCTGCCTGAAACTCCCCCAATAGATTCCTTTGATTTCTTCTGTAACGTAGTGACATCACTTTGTAACACTCGCGCTTCTTTTGGTTATCGCTCAAACACATGGACGTGATGTGATGAAGGGGCGGGACATCTCTAAGCGGTTAACCAATCACAACAGAGCCGGCCAGCTAACCAATCAGAGCAGACTGGGCTCTGGTTTCAGACAGAGGGTGAAAAGAGGTGCTGCAGCACATTAAAGCATGGAGACATGTCCCAGTAGAGACACAAAACACTAATATGAACCTGAACATGAGCAGAATAGGGCCCCTTTAATGTTGTGTCCTCATAGGGCTTTTACAATTTTGTAAAAGACATATCGTACACAACATTCGTGATCACTTCAACACATCAGCAACTATTGATTTGGCTGGTCAGAGAACTGGTCATGTTTGGCTGTGTGCTCATTAATGTGTTGAGAACAGAAGTGAAAGATGAAAGAGCATAGATGGCGAGATGGGCTGTTTTCAGATTATTTGTTACTGTGAACATAGCACAGGAGACTGGAGTATTCTCACTGACAGCTGTAGACGGATGCATTGTGTCATGAAGCCCAGATGGATGTTAAGTGAAGGAGGACATCAGCGTCTGGTCCACTTGGTCCAGATGAGAAAGTGCGCACCTGTATTGCACACTGAGAAGACGCTTGTTATTTTCAGCTTGAATAGATCTGACTAGGAGTTGAATGCGATAACAGTGAGACAGCGGCTTTTCGCCATCTGAACACCACACATGATGGAGTTTTTCCCTTCCAATCAGGAAGTGCATTTGGCATTCGCATCTGTAGGGGTTTCTATAACTCTGAGTCAGGAATAGCCAAAAAGAGTCCAGGAAGCTTCTCTTCAAGTTAACAGCTTTTTTAATACAATACAATGTTACATACATTCAGTCTCCTGCTGTCTAATTTTACAATTCTTCAAATATCTGTTCGTCATTTAAACTTTCCATAATAATAGTATTGCAGCGTCGATGAGTGAGAGTTGAAGACCGTGCGTAACTCCACGTGTCATTCTCCTTATATTCACATTCACAATATACTATTAGCTACATGCTAATGGCTAACAACAACATCCGGTTCCGGAGGTCCATGGTGTCCCCCATATTCAGTCCGTGGGAAAACACTACTACCGTATATAATATTATTTAAAGTTCCAGTAAAATATATTGTTTTATTCCTTACACATTCATGATTCAGCCAGTGGAATAACATTGATTCAGCAACTTCTAGTCCAGTGCCTGAGAGAGAAGATGAGTAGACATACCACTCCACGCCTCACTGTTCTCCCCAAGGAGGGGAATTCATTTCTGTCAAATCTCTGTGATTGTAAGTAATGGCAAAGTTGTGATAGATTAGAACAGGAGGCGGAGGATGGAGGAGGGAGGAGGGAGGGTTTCACACTCCTTTAACTATGTGCAAAATGTCAAGACCTCCCCTGATTGGCTGCCAGAGGGGGTTTGTCTCTCCTCTGAACCAGTGTGAACCGGATAAGTTCCCACATCAATCGCCAGCCACTATCCCCTATAACCCCCCCAAGCATAATGTTGATGTGATTTGCTGCTCGCGGGGCAGAGAGACCTCTCGGGTCAAACCGAGACTGGATTAAATACAAAGTCCTGGAGTAATGTCCGGGGAATTCTATTATACACAGACATTGTTTCTTTATGCTGTGTTGAGAGGATACCACTGAGGACATGTTCTCATATAATGGGCCTCGTCTTCATTTAATAAAAGGTCACAAAGAACATGTTCCAGGGTCATAAGCTTTCTTTTACATCTGCTGGGGAATAGGAACGCAGATGGTTAATAAAACACTGGTCTTACCGATAACACTGAGCATTGTAAAAGAAAATATATTTGTCAATCATGCTCGATGTCATATAGAGCACAAACTTACATTATTTTATTCCAATTATTACCAAATCTGTACTTTAGCTTTTCACTTGCCCTTCAATCAATTGTCCACTATGGTTTTGTTGATTAAAGAAGACATATTATGCAAATGCTCAGGTTCATATTTGTATTTAGCTCCTCTACTGACATGTCTCCATGCTTTAATGTTCAAAAAGCTCTTTCTCATACTGCCTGTGCTGCAGCACCTCTTTTCACCCTCTGTCTGAAACCAGAGCCCAGTCTGCTCTGATTGGTTAGCTGGCCGGCTCTGTTGTGATTGATCAACCGCTTTGAGATGTCCCGCCCCTTAGCCTATGAGGTACAATATGTTGGAGTGCTTATAACACTACATGAAAGGTAGCATAATAGGGCCCTTTAAAGGTGACATGTCATGCTTTTCCGGTTAGTACCCGTCCCCTTGTGTTATGAAGGTTTTTATGCATGTAAACGGTGTGCAGAGTCAAAACCCTCAAAGTACACCCTGTAGCGAGTAAAACTCTAACACAGAAAATACCTCCCCAAATCGCCTCATTGGAGATACGTCACTGTCCATTTGATTCTTCCGGGTACATCATGATGTCATGTCGTCCCCGGAACGAAATGGACCAATCCGTGGAGCCGTTACGTTACGTCCGCGGAGCCGTTACGTTAAGCCCCCGCTGATTGGTCCAAATTGACCAATCCACGGACTTCCTCACACACTCAGTGCAAGCAGCTCTGCTGATCTCTCCTCCCTGGCTGCAGGCTGATAACAGACAGTTGGGATCGCGGCGAAATTCTCTCTGCAGACCCATTCTCTCTGCTGACCCATTCTCTCTGCAGACCCATTCTCTCTGCAGACCCATTCTCTCTGCAGACCCATTCTCACAGCGTTTATCAACCTTTTTTCGATTAAGTATTTGTCGGGAACAAAGAATGAAGATTTCTCCTCACTATTCCAGTGGTGTCAATGTGAACAAATCCTTACTATCATTCCGGTGAGCCTCTATGAGACGTGCTCACAGTGCACACCTCTCTAAACCAAGAAAACTGGCTGCCCACTACTTTAGCAGTTGTTATTATTCAGCCCACCCACACCATGCAACTAAAGGCAATGCATTCCAACTGATTTCCAGGATAATAAAGACATTGACAAAGTGATGTAGAAGTTGAGGAGGTGAAGCTGTAGGAAACTGGATTACCATTAAGAAAATAAAGCACTTGAGTAATGTTGATGCATCACAAATCTACATAACTCAAACAAAGTGCCTGTTGTACGATATAAAATGTTACTGTGCAAAGCTGATAGTACGAACGCTTGTATATGTTTTTATTAGACAAATCAAATGCAACACTTTGACGTGACCCTGCATATTACTTTAACTTATCTTCAATTTAGTTACATGCTCCATGAAGCAATACAGACTGCAGAATTACAAGCATTCATACCCACTCAGCGATGATAATACCCTTATCTGATTTTAAGGTTGCGACTAAAGGAACAGTTTGAAGCCATGGCCATCATGATTAGTGCTCACAGTCTTATTCGCTAATTCATTTTTTTGGTTATCACCGCCTTAGTGCTGGAGTTTGTCTTGCTTAAATAGATGATGATTATCTGGCTCAGTGAGGGATTCTATAATTAAAGTAAATGTCCTTGAAGGCAAGGTGAACTAAGTCTGTGGAAATAGTGTTGTATCAAGAAGCTACAGCTTTTCAGAATTTGTAATGAATGTGGGTTTCTGGTGCCAGCACTGCCATTAGTTAAGGGTGAATGCAATTTGGGTATTGCATTTTCACGGTCTCAAGAGCTCCCGCTGTCATCGCAGCTCATTTGAGGCGGGAAGAAAGCATGCATTAAAGATTTGGACATGGCATTTTGAAGAGAGGCTCTGCAGTTGAGACACTATTTTAACAAATGTATTTTCTTCTTGTCTTTGTCAGGTTGGTGTTACTTCTCTGAAGAGACGAGGCAAGAGGCAGAGTCGGAGGCGAAGTGATCGAGACAGGAGTCCTCCCAGACAGCAGGGGGCAGCAGCGAGCATGCAGGAATCAGCCTCGGACAGCAAGATGGCCAAACAGGTCAGAATGAAATAAATTACATTACTTACTAGAATTTCTTGATATTGCCAACATTTTGTTCTGGTTTGAAGCAGTCTTCAAGTCCCTATTCAAAGATAATATGACAAGTATTTCAGTGGTTGCCTATCAATGTAGTTTCCATTAGGTCTACAATATGCTGAATAAGCACACTGGCACAAAAAGCCATGACTTTCTCATAGGCCATTACAATGATATAACTAAATCTTATACTGATAAAGATACACCTTCCAGTTACAACTCATGTATCAGTCAGATCAAATGAATAACTGTGTCATTCGACTATCCATTTTATACATTTATGTTTAGGACCAGAACTCCAAGTATCTGGATGAAAACAGAGAAACAGACGACATGTCGGAGAAAACGTCGCCAAACAAGAACCTCAAATCTCCCCAGAAAGGCTCCAAACGACTCAAAACCGCCCCCTTCAAAATCACCCTGCTGGACACATCGGAGTTCGAAGGCGAAATTGAGGTATGGACAGTGGAAAACACGTTTTTTTTACAATTAGTCTGAACAAGCTTTGAACAAAGAAAGAGAAATATGCTTATTTTCCTTTGCAGTGTTGAATTTGTGGCAGTTGTGTGTTTTATAGTGCTGCTCTGAGCGGATAAAACACACAAAGAGAATACAATAAAAGGGTGCCATGCTGAGAGATCACCAGGGGGCCGAGCCAAAGCAATGTTACACATTTTCAGAAATGCACACAGTCGTACAAAAATAGTTCAACGTGAACGTTTTCCTTCTAAACCAGATCTCTGTTGGCATTACTCAAGCAAAGGGATAAGGACATTTACCGCTCGCTTGCAAAGGGAACTGAAGGCATGAGAAAGGAGAGAGGAGAAAGATGTAAGTGCCTTAAGATAAATGCACCGAAAGAAGCCGGAGATTTTCCGTCTCACAGCGGCACACTTCTGATAGAATAGGTCTTTCTCTCCATTTGAAATGTACTTTGCAGGATTGTGATGGCAGGAATTCATATCCATTTGCTTAACTTTGGAGATGACTATGCAGCATTATTTTTAAGCTTCTTGTTCGGGCTTAACTTTCATTCCCACTCACTGAGAATCTTTCCAGTCACCCAAATCCAAGGCGTGATGTCTAGCACCGCTGCTTCTGTCGACCAGATTTAAGAGATAATGCCAATTGGTGGCATCCGGCGTGAGTCACAGTCTAGTACCTCTTCAACTCTTCAGAAAACTGTCTTGAGGACTGGAGGTGTATTGTATATGTTTATGGTTAAGGCCTGGGAATAAGAATTGGGTATAACCTCAAAACGTTCTCTGTCTAACTGGTAACATTTCCTCAAGTATCAAAAAGTGTAAGTATTGAAGTTATCAAATGACAAAACAGGACCTTGCCTTTGAAGATGACCCATATTTTATTCTGGCACCCCTATCCGTAAGAAACAGTGTCTGATAGTACATTAAAACACTTGCAAGTGAACCGTACCAATGCTATTTATATGACCATTTTAATTTCTCTCACCCAAAATACTTGGTTATGAAAGGTTATAAGAATTGGACAAAGATGCTGTGGGTCGCTTTGTATGCCCACCTAAAGGGTTTCCCAATGCAACTTGCCACCTGTGCCGTCATAGTTTGCATGACCTCAAGAGGATGTAAGTAAAAGGTAATCAGAACTATTTGAGTTTCTTGAGTCTTGCATTCACTTTCTAATTTCAGAGTTTTGTTATTACTGTAAGCTAGCATTGACTGCTTGCTTATGCGTGTTACTTGTAGTTTTTGACCTGTGCTGTCGTTTAGGTTGCATGTCAGTTAAAGGTAATCAAAACTGACTCAAGACTGTGTGACTTTCTGAGTTTAGGGTTTTGTCATTACTGTAAGTTAATTCTGAATGCTTGCTCAGATGTGTGTATGCTTGTTTACAAAAATCAAATCAAGTTTTATTTATATAGCACATTTATAAACGATTTTTGGTCGAGCCAAAGTGCTGTACATATAATAAAAATAGCCTACAGTAGAGACACTTTACAGCAAATACAACAGCACAGATTGTTCAGAATATCAGTATGAGAAAAACGACACCCTCTATCCTTAGACCCTCTGTCCTTAGACCCTCTGTCCTTAGACCCTCTGTCCTTAGACCCTCTGTACTTAGACCCTCTGTCCTTAGACCCTCACATCGTACAAGGAAAAACTTCCAGAGAAAACACACAGTTTAAAGGGAACATGGGAGAAACCTCAGGGAGAGCAACAGAGGAGGGATCCCTCTCCCAGGACGGACAGACGTGCAATAGATGCCGTGTGTAAATCAAAGAGATAATACATTTACAGCATATAGACCGAATGTTAGGAAATGCATGTGTCTGTAATAAGAAGATGAATCCACGAGGATGTCAGCTACAATCCTGTGGAAGCCATCAGGGAAGCAGCATGACGAGACCCAAGGCAGGACCGCAGAGACAGGTTCAGCCACGACCCGAAGTCCACGACTTAATCCAGAACTCAGCATAGAGGATCCAAGACACAGGACTACAGCAAGAGGATCAGCCTCGACTCCGGATCCCGGCGTAGATATAGATACAAAACAAGAAAAAAGATTTGGCTGGGTTAATCGGAACAAGAGAATACACAGACACAGACAGAGAGGGAAAAGGTCATTGGATCAAAGTTATTCTTGATAACCCTCTAGAAAGATCTCATGAACTTCCCACTCAATCTATCAAGACCCGAGCAGTTCTATTAGATATAGATAAGAAACAGAGATAGGGAGCACAACAACGTAAAACAATCTAAATCATAAAAACACTTAGACTACAAGTTCCACCCTTTTTTCTCTTCTGGAGCTTTAAACTGTATCAAACAATCTTCCTAACCGTTCAATATTCAGCACATTTCTGCACAGCTCCACTTTGAAAACACACCGATATTTATTTTCTATTGTAAATTGTTTTCATTTATGTATATTGACTTTTGTTAGTTGCTATGCACCAGATCCCTTAAACATCCAATTCATGTGAGCCTACATTTTGATTCCAAAGCATTGATCAGTTTCTTTGTATTTTGTTAATTACATTTTTCTTTTCCTATTACCCTGTCTAAGGTACAACAATATATTGTATCGGTACCAACATTGATTAAGTATTGGTGCTAAAATCTTCATTAGACGTTAAGGTCACAGGATGTCCCTTTTTTCCAATACAAGCCGTCAGCACAGGCTGCTAACAGGCTGCTAGGAGATCTATCGTTATTACATGTTTGCAATCCAAGTGCAGCCAAGGAGAAAATAGAAAAGCAACGCTATTATCAGCCAGGCCTTAGGATACTTATGCACAACTCAATGAAACTTTGTGTGTGTTGGGGGAAGGGCGGTATTACTGTATGAGTGTGTGAGGTAAGAATATCAGGAATGCTATGCATGCACCAACACTCTCTCAGCATTGTGAAAACATTCTGGAAAACCCTGGGGCCTTTTCAGAACAACAATAGATAGCATTATGAAAGCTTTTGTCTTTGAAGCTCCTAAATATTTGAATATGCCCGTCACGCACAAACGATGCACAAAGTAGTCTCTTGTGTAGTCTCTTGTTCTTTTAATTCTAGTTAGGGGAGAGCCTAACACATCCAGGTCTTGGCAGGCTTGCTCCTACTTCCTGTTTTTAATTGTTGGTTTGTAGCTTCATGGCTGTCACATTCAAACCTCCCTTGCACCACCATGAGTTGCTAATAACAGTGTTGAGTGAAGGCAGGCCACGCTCTCCCTGTAGGAGGTGCCACATTCACAGGGTAATTAAGTCACTTGTTGTGGACGCATGGGTGAGCCTCTCTGTGGTCCTCGGGCAGGAGAGGAAGCACCACGCCCAAACTCATTTCACTCACCCCTGACTTCCCCCTCTGCTCACTGGAGTGTGATCCGCCTGCATGGTAAAGCCTGGCTGAGCAAAACAGGGCTATTTTGAGCGAAATGTTGTGTTTCATGTTGTCTTTCTACGTAGATTATTTTGGATGTCTATTCAGGTGGCAGCGCTGAAATCATTAATGTACAATTGAATATGTAATTTTTCCAGAGATAGACTTCATCATGTCATGTATTATTAAAATTCCACATGCTGATTTGTTAATTAAATGTTGCTGGCTGTCACTCATGTCTTATAACGTACGCTTGCTTTACTTTGACACTCTCGCCCTGTGGGACTTACTGACTGACATGATATGCGCGTGTACAGAATTGCTCCAACAACCTTTCACCCATACTGTATTTAGGCAATGGTTGAACACCTTTTTAAATTCCTAGCATTCAGATATTAGTAAAAAAGACAGTAGAGGGATAATTCTGCATCTGTTTCCCTGGCAACTGGTTGCTCCACCTCACAAAGTAAGCGCCAGGGGAAGAAGCACTGTGTGTGTGTGTGTGTGTGTGTGTGTGTGTGTGTGTGTGTGTGTGTGTGTGTGTGTGTGTGTGTGTCTGTGTGTGTGTGTGTGTGTGTGTGTGTGTGTGTGTGTGTGTGTGTGTGTGTGTGTGTGTGTGTGTGTGTGTGTGTGTGTGTGTGTGTGTGTGTGTGTGTGTGTGTGTGTGTGTGTGTGTGTGTGTGTGTGTGTGTGTGTGTGTGTGGTGTGTGTGTGTGTGTGTGTGTGTGTGTGTGTGTGTGTGTGTGTGTGTGTGTGTGTGTGTGTGTGTGTGTGTGTGTGTGTGTGTGTGTGTGTGTGTGTGTGTGTGTCATTACTTGTAAGCCTTAACAGCCTTTACATACTTATATTCCTTGTTCTATATTTAACAGTGACGTATGGAGCCGGTGCATAGATTGACAATATTGAGTCAACATGTCATGTGACCCATACAATGAGACAAAACCTGTTTAAGTATGAGCATTGTGTTGCATGAAACCAGCTCACCAAGCAGTTCATGGCTTTTCATTAATTAAATTACAAAGCAATCGATACGAGGGAATTCAATTACTTTAAATCAGATAAGGGTTATTTGATTTTGTCGGTATCAGTATACTAGCTAACTAGGTTTTATACCTATGACCTTCATGTGTGTAGGGCATAGACTGTGGTGTAGGGATGTGTGCTTACCAATAGGCTACTATGATGACAAATGTCCATAGTGTTTCATTCTATAACTACATTTGATGCATACCTCTATGAGCTTTACCAATGTGACAGTCACTGCTTACATACTTCGAAATATTGGGTGAGTCCAAACTGAATTATCTTGTTGACTATTGAATGGTTTATGGATATTTGTTGACATTTATCTTCAGCACCATGAGCAACAATGTGTATTTGTGCATCCCAGACAAAGAAATAAACACACAAAGAAACTCCACCTTGAATACATGAACTTGTATCCTGACGGTGAATTGAAATATTCCTGAAATGCTCATCTTGAACTATTGTCAATAGCAGAGTAAATCTCTGCGTTCAGTACAAAGACCAATTCTACTGTCAAGTGTTTGAGGCACTCTGACTGTGACACAGCGCTAAATGGCTATGCTGCTTTATTGCTTTCAGAAAATACAGGAACGCAATCTTAAAGCGCAGTTGTCTAATGGGGTCTGACATTGATGACTCAAATGTTGCCCAATACGAGTTACACCAGCGAAAGACAGTATTTCCCCTGCTTTCTTTTTCTTCTTGACCTTTTGTAACACTCTGTTGTCTTTGCAGAAACACTCCAAAGGACAGAGCCTGACGGACATGGTGTGTGAGCATCTCAACTTATTGGAGAAGGACTACTATGGTCTGACCTTTGCTGACACCGACACCCAGAAGGTCAGTGACTTGTGTACCTCATAACCCTCATGGGGCATTTCGGCTCATAAACACATCGCTCACAGGACAATCTGTATTCCTCTCACTTGTTGGCTGGGTCAAGCTCTCAGGGGCGCACTATCCAACAAAGATTGGGCTTGACAAAAGGCATTTGGAGAACAGTTGGGGAAAAGACGGAAACATGACTCGTACTCTTTGCAAGACGTGAACTGTGGGAGAGATTCAGTTGTACAAATATTTCAGAAAGGAAGGGCTGCTCTGACATAATCTGAGTCAAACCTGCATTGACTGAAGCCAAGTGCCGGTGTTTATCAGGAACATCTGAAGAATAGTTTGGTCAGAATGTTAACTGGCCACTTATTAGCTTACCCTAAACCATGGCTATAGGCACGTTTTAATGCAAACCTAATAGAACAACAAAAGCAAAGAATGGTCGACTATAGCAGACAGAGTCGGGACATGACAGCAAAACCTCATGATGTCTATTGAATTCAGCAAGATGTAGTTATACTGCTTATCAATTCACTGGCGATTTTGGTTCTTTCAAAAGTTACAGTCTTAACTTTAAGGTCAGCCAGACTAACTCGCTCTAAGCAAAAGTGTTGATGTGATTTACCAAAAGACCCTAACTTGTCAGACGCACTTTAATTATTTGGTTCTGTCCTCTGAGGTTTAATTATCTCTGCTTCTGATGCATGCGTACATTCATTAAAATCCAATCAGCTCACGACCATTTTGACATTTCCAGAAAAAGGTATGAGTGTGTTTTTTCCCTGTGACTTCTTTGGGTGCACAGACCAGGCGTGTTATCTTATAATTGACTACATGACTCTGTACTGATGGGTCCTAGCCGTCGGCACTCAGATGTATGAGTTTTGATTGACACAAGTCTCCTTTAGGGAAGGTTTGTGGTTGCACAACAAGGCTACCGAGGAACCTGCTGCCTTTTGAAGATAGGAGAAATGACAAGACTAAGTCCCCTTTAACATCTGGAGCATATCCTCTGTCACCATTATCAGCTTTGCCAGCTCACCTGTTGTGACTTGATGTGGCGGAGGAGGCTTTGGAAGGAGCATCGGCCCACACAGACAGGTTAACTGGGGTGTTTAAAGAGGTAAACAGGCTTGAAGTCCAAATATTTTGGCTCTTTTTGAGGGTAGGGAAGGCTGCGGCTTAGCACGATATGACAGGCTCCTCAAAGAAAGGCTTATCGGAGGGCAGATTGAGCCGGCTGTGTGGGGTCATCTCTGATTGATTGATCAAACAAGCCTGAGAATTGAAATGTCATTTCCGATGCCCTTTCTCTGTCTCGGTTGGGGGAACGAGGATTTAATCAGTAGAACATTTATTCCATGTGATTGCTTCATGAACTGAGGTTGCGAAAAGCGCAAGCGAAGCCTTGAAGAGTCGGTGATTAAAAGTTCGCCCTGATTTCCTGCGGAGAAAGGCAAAGCAGCGGAGAGCGTCCTGCTAATTGAGTGCTCTCTGGCCTCTGATGATATAAGATAGATTCAGGGGGGCGATAAATGCCCGCGGCTCATTAAAGTCTTTAGCGGCCTGATTAAACACCGGAGGAGAATGTGTATTTGTGCCAGTGTACATGAGTGTGTGTGTACAGTACATAATGGCACAGTTCAAATTGCCAGATGCTTGCAGATTGACCAACATGGCCATAGGATATCACTTTGCTATTTTAAGCAATCATGCCACTGATTTTTAAGCGCTGTAAGGATTTCAGGTTAGCAGAGATCACCGTCAGCATCACAGGATACATCTGCAATAAGGGTTATTATTTGTGATTCATGAAATATCTTTGTTGTTTTTAGTAGTAGAAAAACAAGGCATAGATTTACCACATAGATTTGTTTAAATGTTCTGGCAGGATAGAAATGACATTTTCCCACAGATTTGATATCGTTACGAAACATGTTTGAGTACAATTTAATGTAGGGATTTCTATCGTCAATGGATGGAGAAAAGTCCAAGGAAACCAACTTGTTTGGATTTCTGGTTCTAACCAGGCCTATTTAGGACATTCATCTCAATCAAAAAAATTTATTTACAGTAGTGTATTATGGGGGTTTTAATGTCCAAATCATGTATCTGCTTTTAAAATGTATCTCCTTTTTCATTTCCCTTTTTATTCACATTACCTTTTCATGTTTTTTTAAGACATAATTAATATTAATTCAAGATTTTCATAAAAAAAGGCACATTTTGAGTAAAAACCTCCTTTGATGAACAACACCCACCTGGTTTTCTTTAGATTTGAGGTCTCAGAGAAAAACAATAGTGAAATAATGGGATGAATATGCAATACTAGATTCCTTCAAGCACCATAAGAATTGAAGTTTCAATTCAATGTAAAACTCTTGATTCACTGAGATAAAGAACAGACCAGAACTCATTGGGAATTACATTTGTAAGAATATTCTATTGAAAGGAGAAAAAACAACAAACAAAAAAATCATAAAGGAGATTTATCCAATTTGTTTACTGTTGCAAACAGTTCAAAACAATTTCAGTGGTGTAAAAGTACTTGAGGGAGATATTTCATTGCCGACTTTTATTACCATCTGTGTGTTTCTTTGCCTCTAAACGGCATGATTAACAACCAAGTCGGTCCACGGAGGAGACGCTCTAGAAAAACTATTTAGAAATGGTGCCCCTACAGCCGAAAGCGGTTCACTGCACAATCGGATATCATTTGATCCGATTGGTAACGGGCTGCAAGTGATTGAGAAACACAATGAAGAAACAGATGCTGGAGTTAAGTCTGCTCAGCAGGGGGGGGGGGGGCTCAGTTACTCTATTTAACCGTATGGAAAGGCTTTCATTAGGAACACTGATGGCAATTAGAGGACAATGTGACACTGGGGTGTGCTTTAGTCCCGTTCCCTTTGTGCCTTGTGTGAATTCTGCCTTCTGTCATCCAGAACTGGTTGGACCCCTCTAAGGAGATCAAGAAGCAGATGCACAGTGAGTATTTTTAAAAGGAACTGAGATGATAAATGTTTTTAAAGTTCAATTAAGTTAATTATGGTGAAGTTTTGAATGTTGTGTTGAACTGTTGGATTCAATCCATCATTGACTTCTAATTAAAATGCTGTGCAATTTTCCTTAGATAGTCAAATGGAGAGTTTACCCAACATTCAAAAAGCTTACTCTTAAATGTAGTGCTATTAATCAAGATTGTTTTTGTGTGATTTGTGTTGGATGAATAGACCAATATAGATGGTACATGGCTTGTGGCGCTCAAGGCGCCCAAACAATACATTTTAAAAGACTCAATGGTAATGTTTCCCAAAATTGTGACTCGATTAGTCAAAATAATCCACACACCTTGTTGTAAGCAGTTTTAACGTAGGAACTATTTTCTTTAAACCAAATGACTCTCACCATTCATGACACAAGGCAGAAGAAAGAGTGCTCTAAGCCACATGTGTCAAACTCAAGGCCCGGGGGCCAAATCAGGCCCTTGGTGGATTTAATTTCGGCCCGCAGGATAATTTCTAATTACTATTAGATCTGGCCCGCCGGTATATTGCACGCACACCTTCACTCCATCGTGAGGGTCTCCTCATCTCAGAGCCTCTCCAAACATTGATGAACTTGCACCCAAGATGAGATGCCAAGTATCTGCTTGAACTAGCATCACAGAGCAGCACACTGAGTTTAATGGATGTTTCCTTCTGCACTTTCTCTCTCACCACAACAGGGCATGTTTGGTTTCTCTTGGAGGGAAATAGTTTTTTTGAAGCTGTTGTTGGCCTGTGGGAAAATGTACTCTGGAAAAGCTGCAGATAGAGCCATAAGAAATGAATGCAGCTGATTATTTAATGTTGTTTTTATAGGCAATCATTTAAGCTTTGTTAGTTCCAGGTTTAATATGTGCGATAAGTTCATTTCAATAAGTTCTGCAATAAACATTGAACCAGTCCGGCCCTCGACTAGTACCCATTTTTTAATGTTGGCCTACTGTTTATTTGAGTTTGACACCCCTGCTCTAAGCTAACGGCTAGTTTACGTCAGCTAGTTTATATGTTTCATTATGTACGACTCCTTCTTTACAGTGATACTGTCGACGGGTGTAGTTCAGTAGAAAGTAAATACTCTTACATGAAACTGCTCACAACAAAGTCTGTGGATTATCTTGAATATTGATTTCAGGAAAGAGACCTCTCTCTTGAGTTTTTCAAATGTATTTGGGGGTATTTGAGCACCACAAGATACTCTATGTGCCATCTAATACCGGTGGTCAATGTGAGATAGACATCTATAAAGCTGATATCCCCAACACTCAATAAGAGGATTTTTATTTGATTTTTTTCGGATAAACTGTCCCTTTTAATCTTTCAGCTGTCATTGTATTTATTCCTCAGACTCTCCGTGGCACTTTGCCTTCTCTGTCAAGTTCTACCCTCCAGATCCCTCCCAGCTCACGGAGGATATTACCAGGTACAACACGTCTCTCCCCAACACGCACGCACGCACGCACGCACGCACGCACGCACGCACGCACACACACACACACACACACACACACACACACACACACACACACACACACACACACACACACACACACACACACACACACACACACACACACACACTCTCTTGAAATACTAACAGTTGTAACTCCTCTGGCTGTGCTGTTAGGTGCTCTTCAGAGTTAATCGGAGGCGAACATTATTCCTTGCACATGTCACTTTTGAAGATGATTTATTTCCCTAAATGCAAGTGTTTACATTAAGTACTGCAACAATTTACAAGGTGAATTTGCCCCGGTGTAAAAGCAACCCAAATCTCTCTCTCCTTTATGAGGATTAGGCCAGGAATGCTACAAACGGCCTTGGATTAACTACACTGTGTTCTTGTTGGAGCTCGCTTTGCTTTGGGCTCGTTTGACTGCCAACACCCTCCTCTCCTCCCCTGTCTCATCTGTCAGATACTACCTGTGTCTGCAGCTGAGGGATGACATGCTGTCAGGTCGGCTGCCATGCTCCTTCGTCACTCACGCCCTCCTCGGCTCCTACAGCGTTCAAGCCGAGCTGGGCGACTACGACCAGGACGACCACGGCTCCGACTACGTCAGCGATTTCCGCTTCGCTCCCAATCAGACTCGCGAGCTGGAGGAGAGGGTGATGGAGCTCCATCATAACTACAAGTACTTGACACAATATTGCTTTCATCTATCCTCAAACCTGTGGGAATATGATCGGATGATGAGTTTTTTGTTGTGTGACACCCCGCTATGCATATGGCTGATGGATGCCGTCACATTGCCGCTCCATCTGTCATTGAAATGTACACAGTGCACGTGTTGCTAGTGCAAAAACACTTTCTCAGTTACAGGGTCCTCACCACTTTGATTTGGCATTGCTTTCTGGCATACGTCCAAGCATAACGCTTCAGGGGACGGTTAGGAGGAATTTAGAATTGAAGATATCAAGCATATTACCAAGACAATTATGCTCCCGCTGTGTAAGATTACGAGTTTATTATAAGAAGGCATGTTGATGTTTGTTACACAGATTATCATTGCTCTGCCTACAGGGGGATGACTCCAGCAGAGGCTGAAATTAACTTCTTGGAGAACGCAAAGAAACTGTCGATGTACGGGGTGGACCTCCATCACGCTAAGGTTGGCTGTTACACATTTTAACTTCATTTCTAGGATGATTACAGTGTTTTTTTTTGTTATAATGTCTGCCTCTTTGCTGTCCCCTTGTTGGCTGCAGGATTCTGAAGGGATTGAAATAATGTTGGGCGTCTGTGCCAACGGCCTGCTGATTTACCGAGATAGGCTGAGGATCAACCGCTTTGCCTGGCCAAAGATCCTGAAGATCTCCTACAAGAGGAGCAACTTCTACATCAAGATACGACCTGGGGAGGTAAGCAGATTGGAGGATTCAAAGCTTGTCGAGCAGTCATGAGTAGTGCTACTTAACAAAAGAAAATGTGTGCAAAAGGTATTCTCTAAAATTCGAAGAGCCTGATCTAAAAGGCGCACTGCCTTTGGACGATCAGCCTTTTTCGTTTACGGCCATCAAGCACTGGAATACTCTTCCAGTTGAACTTAAAACCTGTACTGATTTTAACTCGTTTTCCTATGGTGCAAAACAATGATATTAAGCAACCAGTCATGCCAACATTAATTACACTGTAATCTGAGTTTTTTGTTTTTTTTAAACTGTATTGTCATGCTCTATCGTAGATATTTTATTTAAGTGTATTTGAAGTGTACTAAGTGTTATGTTCGTAACCTGAATTTAAATCAGGCGTTGTAATTATTTGAGTGACCGAGATCATAAGTGTATTTCAAGTGTACGATGTATTCATTTATTGAGCTGTACTTAAATCAGGTTTTAAAATTGTTTGACTGATAGAGATCATGCAATGTTATTATTTGTGTATTGATTGTTATGAACCTGTCTGAGGACCACAGATGGAAATTAGCTATTAGCTATAATCTGGCATATTGCATCTCTTCTCTTTGCTGAGATTAATGTTTTTGTATGCATGGTCCTTCTATAAATAAATAAATAAAAATTTAAAAAATGTAACCCCAATGATATCATAGTAAGTGCTTTTTGTGCACGTATGAAAGTGAGTGATAACAGAGCTTAGCTAACCATCAAACGTACAAGGTCTCCTCTTATTTTCTGCAAAAGACAAATAAACCTGTTCGGAAAAAGATTTTAAGCCTCGGATTTTGAGTCAAATCTGTTTCTGTTGAAGTGAATGTACGGCCAGTTTTGCTGAGCAGAGGGCCGTGAAATCCTCCGCTTTATGCCTCCAGTCTTGCTCCTCTGCACAGCCGGTCTATATCCTGGCCCTCCTCATCGTGCAGCGCTGCAGCTTATCCTCCACGCTGAGCCTCAGTGTGACAGGCGGCCTGGGCCGGACCCAGTCAAGTGACAGTGAGCCTGTGATCCGGCCAAATAAAGAGTCCCTTTAACAGAGCGGCTGCAGCTGCAACCACAATACAAGGATAAGGAGTGTAAATATAGAGCCATGGAATAGTTTTCCTGCTCATTTCTCCTAGTTTCTGAACATTGCGAGCTCTGAAATGTTGTGGATTTGAAGTAGAAAGTGGCTTGAAAGGGAAATACTCAAGTAAAGTACACATAGTAGATATATACATCTGTTCTTCCACTGTGTATCTTTGCGAGTACAATATAAAGACAGCCTTATTGATCTGGTTCAGCGTTTCTGCAGGTGTTAGATGTACTACACTTATTGAATATTTTATGAATGTATCAGGTTGCCATACACCTTTCTTCACCTCTCTGTGTCCCTGTTCTCTCTCTCCAGTACGAGCAGTTTGAAAGTACAATCGGTTTTAAGCTTCCTAACCACCGAGCTGCCAAGAGGCTGTGGAAGGTCTGCATTGAGCATCACACCTTCTTCAGGTAAGAAACCATCTGGTCAGCAACTAAACATTTCAGACGCAATCAAACTCAATCAATCATTCAGATTGTATTTATATCGCCTGATATCACAAATGGTTAACTTGTCTCAGAGGGCTTTACAATGTGTACGGCATACTACCCTCTGTCCTTAGACCCTGTAGCAGACAAGGCTTTACTGCACGAAACTCCACAATTAACAGGGAGAGCCACAGAGGAGGGATTCCTCTCCCAGGACGTACGCAATAGATGTCATGTGTATAGATGAAAAAGATCATACATTTGCAACAAAGAAAACCAGATGCATACGAAAACATTATAATTTATAAAGTAGAAGGATCCAGGAGGGCTGATCTGAAAATCCGAGGTTAACAGTTCGATCCCACGCTCTAAATTCAACATGTCGAAGTGTCCTTAGGCAAGATACTTAACCTCCAATTGCTCCCGTTGTCGGTATTGAGTGTATGTAGGTAAAAGCATCAGCTCAAGACTTTGGCATCCAGACGTAACATTAATAATAATAATAGATTTAATTTGTTAGCGCTTTTACAGGTGCTCAAAGACGCTTTACAGATATAGTGAAGAGAAAATAAAAGAAGGGAACAACAAATAAATATATAGTTAAAGTTAAAGTCAAATAATACAAAAACAATCACACATTAAAAGCCAGATTGAAGAGGTGAGTTTTTGTGAGGAACATTAGGAACAATTTGCAACCAACCAGGTGAGAGACAACAACAATCTGGGGATGACGCCCCGGGTTAGTAACATGCATTTTTGGGACATGAGTGCACGCAGATATAGAGAAAGAGAAGTTGGAATAGAAAGGTAAAGGGTGAAGTCTGAGCCTATAGCAGCATAACTACTGTAGGGGCTGGTTCAAGGTAAGCCTGAGCCTATGAGCTTTGTTTGGTACATTTTGCAATATTACTGTTTGTTTCCACAGACTGGTGTCTCCAGAGCCTCCTCCAAAGGGCTTCTTGGTGATGGGTTCAAAGTTCAGATACAGTGGAAGGACACAGGCTCAAACCAGGCAGGCCAGTGCTCTCATAGACCGGCCCGCTCCACACTTTGAGCGTTCAGCCAGCAAGAGGTACCTGCTGTCCCGGAGCCTGGACGGAGGTGAGACACGATGGATGTTTGATCTGTTCATGGAGGGTCTGAAGAGCTTTTATTGACCCTCCTTCCTCCTAGACACAGAGTTAGACTCCCCATGTACAGAAAGGCCCGTTTAGCTAAGAGCTAACACTCTCTTTGACACTAAATAACTTTTATTTAGACTTAAAGTTGCAAACCTTTGAATGAATAGTTCCTGGAAATACAGTATGTCTTCTTGCTTTCTTGCAAACATAGTTATAATCAGGAGATCTTAACTTTGCATTAAAGATCACTAGTTGACATGTCAATGTTTAATCAATATATACATCAAAGTGTGAAAACAATACATTTAGTTTTGACAGGGCTGCAGGAAGTCAAGGCTCCTAACTGCAAAAAGTAGTCCCGCTTATTAACCCTGTTGTTTTCCTACATTGTTTTTTGTCATCCTTGGGCATGTTATGTCCAACTACTGCTTTCAAACCCCATCTGAAATTAACTCTAACTTGACCTAGATAAATAGTTAATTATTTTCCGCAGTATAAGACATAGAACAATTATTCAAAAACACAGATAAGTACCAGACCTGAAACTGTTATGGCTTTAGGCTATTATCCAAGTCTATGAGGTATTACAAACACATCTAAAATGCATTATAATGTGTGTGAAGCACAGTTGGATTATAGTTTTAAGGACTTGAACTATAGGAATTATAGTACACTCAAATATCTGCAAAACAAGTAAGTAACTGATAATTAAGAAGTATTTGATACTCGACCTTCTGTGTAAGTCATTGCACTATGTTTTTTTTTTCTATTCTTAACTTGGGAGCTCATAAAATGTAATACAGTTCTGTAAGAATGCATTGAAAGTATGTTTTAAATGCATAGGCATGACATAAAAGAGAGTGTTAGCTCTTAACGGGCCTTTCTGTACATGGGGAGTCTAATCTAGGAGGAAGGATGTTACATTGTTGTTATTGGTGACTTTAAGTGTATGGGAAAAACAGATGGTACCATAATATGGCATAGAAGAAGAATAACAACATGAATGGAGTTCTGGGTGCCCGGAGATTTAAGGTCACCTATCTGATCAGATTTTGGCCACTTTAAGATGTCATAACGATTTTGTCTTGTGTAACCATTAGCCAATCAGCAACCAAGGTAACCCCCCCCCCCCCCTTATCACCTGAATCTCCTCCTAGAGCACCATTGTGTTCTTTCTAACAAAATATCTCTCAGAGGGGCGTGGGGAGGGGCTCCTTATTTTCATCTAAAGTAACAGACAGAGAATCAGCACTTTGGAAATAGGGCTGAAACAGAGGGGATTATGGGTAATGCTGCAATGATCTGTTTGGTGTTTCAGCCAATCAGAGACATGTTCTGTATATATCTGAGACCTATAATATATTGATGAAAAACAGTATAATAGGGGACCTTTAATAATTCATCCATCTCGTTACCAGCCGAGTTCTCGAGGCCGGTCTCAGCGATGTGTGAGAACCACGACGGGCTCACCCGACGCAGCGTCAGCGAGCAGCGGCGCCTCCACAGCCCCTCGGTGGAGGAGCAGCAGGAGGTGGAGCTGGAGCCTAGTATGGAGCAGGACGAGGACGAGGACAAGGACGAGGACAAAGACCAGGACCACAGCGAGATGACCGAGGAGTACTATGACGGCGAGGTCACTCCAAGCAGAAAGAAAGAGATCATGGTAGTTAAGAGTTCCTGACACACTTTTTTCATGAATTGGAAGTAGATTTCGGTGGTCGAAATCAGAGATGTCAAAAGTAAACACATCCTTTACTCAAGTAGAAGTACAGTACAGATACCCGTGTTTAAAAATACTACTAGAAGTACTGACTAAACTTCTTTACTCAAGTAAAAGTAAAGAAGTATGGACTTTGAAATGTAGGTGGGGTATGTAATTTATTTCAGAAACACTTTTTGTTATATTCCATGGAATGCTCTTAACATCCCGATAGCAACGAATATATTAAGTGCTTTGACAATAAATACATTAAAAAAATTCATCTGTGGAAGCCGTGGCGCTGTAAAAAGCACGACCAATCATTTGAGCCGGCCCGGCTAAAGTAACTGGATGGCCTACCTGCCTGTCAGCCTTCCATCTGTGCACGAACTTATCTCGTGCCCTCATTGGTCATGTGCGCGTTCGTGTGTGTTGGAGGAGGGGCTCTGTAAGGAAGTGGCAGATTCTTTCCGGCTGTGTATTTTCAAATTCTAGCGCACTCAAGCTGCTTTCTCCAAAATGACCTACCCCACCTTTAAGTCAAAAGTACCCATAACTACCAGCTGCTTTAAAGAGTACCTGACCTCCCTTTATATTAATAGAACAATAATGTCATTGTTAGCTAATGAATGTTTCCATGCTGAACAACGGCAACATGACAACGTTTCCATTGGTCCCTCTTCTTTAGAGAAGACCAGGAAATGATGGATACACGGATCGTGTTCAAATCAATAGGCACGCAATGACTCTAAAGAATAATGATCACGCATCAAACACACATTCAGACTAAAGGAACCAGCTGTTTGGAAAATGAGAGAAGTAGAAAGTACAGGTATTTGAGTTCAACATGTAAGAAGTAGAAAGTACAGGTATTTGTGTTCAACATGTAAGAAGTAGAAGTAAAAACTCGTCAGAAAAATAAGTAGTGGAGTAAAGTACTGATACTAGAAACATGTACTTAAGTTTTGTATTTGTACTCCACTACTTCCCACCTCTGGTCGAAATGAATAAAGCTTTGAAGAAAACCCCTCCAGGGACATGGCATTGCTCAGAAAAGCCCATCAGGTCAATGTGGGCTTATCCAGTATCGGCATGGAACTACTGTGGTGGCTTTGGTGGATTTAGCACTTACTAACTTCTCCTTTCACTCTTATTCACTCAGGCTTGTTTGCTTACACTGCACTGCTCATAAATCCCGCTGACAGCTTCACAGTTTTTTAACCCTTTCTCTTTATGCTGACACATGCAAGCCTAGCGCTCTGTTGCTAACGTGCTATCTCTTTTTATAACTCATGCTGGCGTTCAGGAGGAGGCTGGGTCACCAGTTGACAGTAAACAGGAGGTACTTGGTGTCTGGTGATTTGGTCTCTGTCTGTCAACCTGTCTTTACTCATCCATCATTACGTAGAAATGTGTTATTGTGTAAGTGGTGATGCAAAAGTCGTGTCTGGGCGAACTGTCATAGCTAAGCATCCCAGCAAACATTTGACTGACAGTGATATGTGCAGTTAGGAAAATTGAAGTAACATGAAATGCTCAAAAATCTTTAAAACCAGTTGAAACCAATATAAGTTTGTATTTATGTTATGATAAATATACTGCCAGTTTTATATTAATGTTATAATAATGATGATTATCAGATATATTTCAATTGTCTGATCTAAATCAGTTTGTCTCCTGTGATGACGAAAGAAGACAGGTGGGAAAAAGGTTTTGTCAGGATGAACTAAAGTAGATTTTTCTTTTTCATCTGGAGAACAGGTGAGAAAAAAAGACGTTCTAGTGACATTTTTGTTTTGTTTTTGGAGTTCTGAGATTAAAGTCAGAAATCTGAGAAAAAGTCAGAACTAAAGAAAAAAAAAATGGTAACTGTTAAAATAAAGACTGAGTGGTTTACTTTGGGTTTTCTTGTAATACAAATGTTGGCCTGAAGAAGCTGAAGTGCACCCATAACCCATGTTTTCTTCCTTTCTCCATGCACTCTAAACACAAAGTGCATGCATTTCTTCACCTGGAAGAAAACATCTTAGTCCTATTTTTTCACCATAAGTCAGAATCTTTGACTTCAATTTCAGAATTGAAAAGGAAAAATATCACTTTGGTCAAATCCAAAGAACAAAATCACGTGGCTCTAAACCTCTTCCAGTAGCTTCTCACCTGTTGTGCAGATGAAACAAAACAAAGTTGGGAAAAATGATTTAGGGAAATCATCCATTCCAAAATGTTTACTAGGATGTGTTTCTAAATGTCTCTCGGCATGGCCACATCTTGTCTGTCTGTGTGTCTGTGTGTGTGTTTGTCTGTGTGTGTGTGTGTGTGTGTGTGTGTCTGTGTGTGTGTGTGTGTGTGTCTGTCTGTCTGTCTGTCTGTCTGTCTGTCTGTGTCTGTCTGTCTGTCTGTCTGTGTCTGTCTGTCTGTCTGTCTGTCTGTCTGTCTGTCTGTCTGTCTGTCTGTCTGTCTGTCTGTCTGTCTGTCTGTCTGTCTGTCTGTCTGTCTGTCTGTCTGTCTGTCTGTGTGTCTGTCTGTCTGTCTGTCTGTCTGTCTGTCTGTCTGTGTGTGTGTGTGTGAGTGTGTCTGTCTGTCTGTCTGTCTGTCTGTCTGTCTGTCTGTCTGTCTGTCTGTCTGTCTGTCTGTCTGTCTGTCTGTCTGTGTGTGTGTGTGTGTGTGAGTGTGTCTGTCTGTCTGTCTGTCTGTCTGTCTGTCTGTCTGTCTGTCTGTCTGTCTGTCTGTCTGTCTGTCTGTCTGTCTGTCTGTCTGTCTGTCTGTCTGTCTGTCTGTCTGTCTGTCTGTCTGTCCGTCCGTCCGTCCTCTTTATGACTGACCTACCATCCTGTGTCTGCATCTGAACCTTGTTCCTGCACTTTCTGACCCCTCACTCTCCACCTCTTGTTCTCGCACCACCTCCTGCCCCAACTCAGCTTTCTCAGTTGGATCAGGAGTCCACTCCTCGGCACAAACAGGAGGTACAGGTTCCTGTCTTTAGACCCTGCTTTTTTTTGGAGGCTTTTACAGATTCAGATGTGCCTGCATCAAAATAAATGTGAATTATAAAACATTGGTCCTCTTTGAGCATAGGTTCAGGTATCTACTTTTACAGTCTCCGGGTGAAATACCTCTCTATTTTTAGAACAGAGAGAACGTCCTTAATTTAAAATCCTATACAAGTACAGGACAATTATCTACTTGAAATACAATGATGTTCAGTGTAGATCTATGCAACCTCTAAGTACCACTTGAACTTTTAAAACAGAGCTGAACATTAGTATTCAACATATCTGATAGAAAACTGTCTAACCAAGGTCATGGAGAATATTAGTTTAAATGAGGTCATTTTGAATTAATATTAACTAGTCATACACATTGGATAAATCGCATCAGTTTTGGACATGAGGAGAAGGTTATTATTAGTGCATCCCTATTGTCCAACAATAGATGTTACATATTCATTTATGAATCCATCTACTTGCCTTGATTGATTTATTTTAGCTTCAGTAGCATCTGAAATGTCAATGCTCTCCATGGGCCACAGCTCACTCGTAAAACACCAGCTTTAGTTAACATAAGTGTAAGCGTTCACATTGCATCTTCTTCCTCAGTGCTCTCTCATGTCTTGTTCAGTCATGCATATCATATGTTGATGTGAGTCCTGCTGGTGAACGAATGTCAACGTTTTGCTAATGCATTCCTCGCTTCTTCTTTTTTTCCCCCTCCTGTTGCAATTTCTCCTCCAGTTTCTGGATAAGTCGAAGGATGTTTTGCTGAAGCACCAGGCGAGCATCAACGAGCTGAAGAAGGCCCTGAAGGAGCCCAACAGCAAGCTGTCGGTCCGCGAGAAACGTCTGTCGGGAACTTCCCCGACCGGCACGCCGGAGAGGAAGGCTGTGAGTAGAATAAAGGGGGAGGGGGGCTTTGCGATAATATCTCAAGTCCAGTAAACCCTGATGCTTGACACATTAAAGGGCATTCATTTTCCCATATGGCCGCTGTCCTGTTGAATTGAGGTTTTGAATGCCTCAATCGAAGCAAAACCGGGCCTATTACGTGAGAAGCCTGATATGGTCGATACATTTCTGATCGGTGTGCCGAAGTCTTCGTAGGTGGGATGGTTCAAACACTACTGGGCTTTCATTAAGGAGGCCAATGTCTGTGTCTAGTGTCAATTCAAAACGTACTCAACTTTGACTTTTGTCATTTTGCATCCATTTTACTCAAATGACCTAATAAACACACTTATTTCTAGCCGAACCATGATCTTTTACTAAACCTAACTACTAGTTTTGTTGTGATTTTGTTTTCTTTCAATTGAAGGCATTGCCAAGGTAGTTTAGGAGAAAAATACATTTCCCCCAGAATATGATTGAGAATGCACTTTAGTTGTATGGTAACGTATATTTTTAGAAAGGGTTGTAAACTTTATTGAAAAGTAAGCTCTTTTTATTTATGAATAATTGATCCAGAATAGACTGAATAATTCAAGCCAGAAGATATGCTGTGTGATGAGTGAAGGTATTTATGGCTATTCCGTTTCCTAGAGGCAGTTAAAACGTGCATCCCCTTCCCAAAGAAACTGCTACTCACAGAAACAAACATAACAATCTGCAGTTTATTTTAAGAAAAGTGTATAATGAAGTGCATCTCCCTGGTGAGACAGAATCATTCGTAGCTCAGAGGTACTTGAAGATGACTGACGGGCAGCACAGCAGGAGGCATCTTGATGAGATTAGATGTTTTTTTAAGATGTACCCAATGTGAGGCACTTGAGACATAATTATCAGTTATCTTTTTTTGTTTTCCTTGATTGCCCTGACAGGGACACAGTCTTTCTGTAAGCCAGATCACAGAAGCTCTCAACTTTTGGGGTAATTAGGCTTTTGAAGGAAGAGCCCTGAGATTTTAGACGTTCAAATAGGATGGTTTTGTTTTTGTCAGTGACTAAATTGTCTTCAAGCAATCTCCCATCTGCTGTCTTGGAAAATCCGATTATGCCCATACAATGTCAAATGTTGCCTGCGGCAGAAAATGTAATTTGCACCGTGTCTTATTCCAGGTATTATTCAGTTAGACTGACAGTCGAAGGCGGGGAAAGTCGCTGTGCTCTGAGATTCAGTTGAACTCAACCCTTTGGTGTAGTAACAGATATTTGCATTGCAAATTTGGTTTTGTGGATTTGGTGGCTGTCAGTTCGTCTGGATTACATCTTTTCAGTTTGAAGTTCATTAGAAGGTTTCTACAGAAGGAGATAGTTAAATAAAACATATACATTATTACAATTACCGGTAGTGCTATCATTCAATCTAGATTGTTTTTGTGTGAGTTGCCAAGTGTTATAGATCGGCCGAAGATGACTTCCAATATATTAGAACACTGGTGCTACGATCGTGCTGATCAAGGCTCCAAAAGATGTTTGGGGAAAAATGTAATTGCAGTCTCTTTGAAGAAATCATGACTCGGAAACTCAAGATTATCCTCAAACTATGGTGTGAACAATTTGTAGGAATGTAGGAACTGTTTTCTTTCCAACTATCTACCTCTACCAACTGTATCACCAAACAAAAGCTTGCATCTTTTCATTTGTTGGTGGGTGTAGTTTGGTAGAAATAAAATAGTTCCTACTTGCTCTCAACATGGTTTATTACCCTGGAAAAATACATTGTCATTGAGTTTTTCAAAGCCTAGTGCGATCTTCCATTTTGTTGGAAAGAAGGAAGACTTTTCTACGTCGGATATCTTCAACAGTTGGCAACTCACACCCATACAATCTCAATTTATGTATAGCGAAACCGGTAAGAAGCAACATAATTACTTTAGATTAAAGGATGAACTGTCCCTTTTAAAACCTATTAGCACTGATCCTTTCCAACTTTCCCATGTTCTCGTTCTTGCATGAAATTGTCTACTGTGAGTCTTACTAATTGACTTTCTCATTTGAGCTCTAACAGCTTTTCTCCCTTTCCTTTAACTCTCTCCTCTGCCTCGTGTCGGCCAGTCGGCGGTCCGAGCAGTGGGGAAGGACCCTGTTAACAGCCTGTCTGTTGAGGGTTTCGTCCAGAAGACGGTGGTGACTTCACCTGAGGTTACATATCTCTCACTCTTTCTGTTTCATGTTGTTTATGGCATTTGTGGATTGGTGAAATGCACTGCCTTGTGTGCATCATTATCATTCATATGTCTATCATATTTTAAAGTGACACTGCCGGCAAAGACATTGTGTTTAATGATCTGGTGATTTTAGACATTTTAGATTTGACTTTACTTCAGTAACATGTCTTCTTTCAGAAAGGAAAGAAAACATGCAAAATACCAATTTAGGTCTTGTATATTTGCTTCTGTACATTTCTCCTCAACCTACCAAAAGTTGGATATGTAAAACCTTTAATACAAAACATTGTTTGGAACGATTCACCTGTAGTTTCTGCAAAATGTATAGACTTTTAGCAAGAAATATCCATCTCAGTTGCACATACATCAAACTATCCAATTGTGTCCCTATTCACGCAGGGTTTTTGTGTCCATCAATCATTCCTATTCAGATTTTTATAAAAGGTTTTTCCTAAAAACATTGTGCAGAGGAATGTTCCATGACAACATGTTATAGATTTATGGAGTGATGCAAAAATATACTCAACATCCCAGCTGTAAAAACCTCTGACTCTACATGTCAACAAAATGAAACAAGAATTTTGAACCTGGCTTAATCAAATGTTCAGATTCACATTAGCTCATATGTAATGCCTGAATTGCATATTTAAAACACCATTTTAGAAACCACTCAAACACAACACATAATTGCTTATTGTAGGCGATTAACCGGGGGAGTATACGTGTTTATCTATTAGTTAAACCCTATTCACTTGGGGTATCTTCCCTTAAGAATAAATCCCTACATGCAATTTCATTATCATCGAACCTTCCCATTGTACCTGTTGAACATTGTGTTCCCTTTTCTGTGATTCAAATGATTGCGTAGGTTTAATTATTTGCAGCAGCTGTGCTTGGCATGTCTAACTGTGTTTAATCTATACCAACATGTAGGGCTCTGAGGAGTGGGTATTGATTGAAAAACAAGAAACTTATCTACAGGACCAAGACTGGAAGGCAGAAGAAATGAACAAATTGGATTCTTCATGGGAGAAAGAGGAGCTGGAAAAAGAGATAGACATAACCAAGATGATACATAAGGAGGTAACAGGGTATGACAGCAAAGAAATGAAAAGCCATATTGATGAATTTTCATCAACCAAAGAGGCAGAGGAGTGCTCTGAGCCACGGCCGACTAACAAAAGTCGTTTTATGGTTCAATTATCTGAAAATGCAGACTTGAATCTTGACAAATCTCAAAGTAAACTATCTCAAAACTCTGACACCGATGCAAACAATGATTTTGCCCCGGGCTCACGGCAGATGAAAGACCGTACAGCTTCGAAACCAAGGAAAAAGAGGAGACCCCAGAGCTTAAACCTGGGTATGCCTCCCGAGCTCATTTACGGGAAAGAAAGCAGTGACTCTACTGACGAAGACAATAACGGCTCAGACTTGGACATCAGTCCAGAAAAAACCTCAAAAGCCGGAAATCATTGCGACCTATCGCCAGTGGAGATGGTGAAGGATGATCAGGGATCAGAAAAAGATGAGTCTTTCAGGGTCTACAAAGACGACCAAGAAGATATATCAGTAGAGAGTGAAAACATGGAGGTAGAAGCAGAGCAGGTAAAGAGGAAAGTGAGTCAGGTTGGGCCAGCTGATATCGATATGGTGAATGGCCCCGGAAAGATGGAGCATGATAGTTCAGTAGCAGGTGTTAAAGGGGAGTGTGGGATGAAGTCGCGAGGACGGGGTCTTATTGACAACAAAGATCTAGCTGAGGTAAAGCTGCGACAGGTCAGGACGCATGAGAGGAAGATCAGTAGTTCGGGGGGAGAGGATATTGAGGGTTTATTGGGAGACAGAGGCCAGAGAACGTCTCTCCAACGACTGTCAGGCAGCAGCTTTCAGTCAGAAATCACCAGGATTGTTCCTCTTAAGCCAGAGCGATCAAAGAGTGTAGCGTGTAAGGACGAAAGGGGCTGGGAAGAGCCCACGGGACTCGTCAGAAGGGAATACCGCTGGTCGGTGGGTTCTCCGGAGGCGTCCTCGGACCTCTCCTGGACAGACTCCGCCGCCTTTCATCCATCTTTTGCAGCAGATCTGGAGGGAATCACTAGAGCAGAATATCCTGATGACAGCTATCAGTTTGGTAGAGGACCGACGGAGAGTCAGTCGTTCTGCTCAAAGATTTCGGCGCTTCACAAAATGGCTCCCCCGGCCCCGCCAGTAAAAACACAGAAGGCCCGAGAATCTGGACTCATACTGCGGAACAGCCGAAACCCTGGCAGGGAGCCGAGTCTGGACGCAGCCAAGAAGAGACACTCGGTAACTCTGCTTGGCATCTGCTATTCAGTCATTGGAAATTAAAGCATCGCATGAGCTTCAGACAGACTCGCACGCCATTTTTATTTATTTTTCTGCGTTTTTAGTGACTTGAACTCATCCATCTTACTTCTTACGGAGTGGCACTTCTGCTCTGTCTTATTGCAAAATCTGTCAAAAAAGTTTTCCCAATTTCTCCCTCATTGCCCCCCGACATGCACCACACTGTCAGGCAAATCTGTACAGCTCACCACTGGCTGTGAAATTTAACAAAACAAAAAGATTAAAAAATCAATATCTCGTGTTTTGGTTGTTGGTTCGTCTTCACCTTCTCTAACTTGTGAGCCTCAGATTTCTTTCCGGCTCACGTTGTTGTTTGTCAGAGGGTGGCAAAGAAAGGCGTACATATTTTCATCGCTCTGATGATTTTTGGCACAGAGATACAAAAACAGGAAATACAAAAACAAATGATTTATGGCATACTAATTTGAGAAAGAAAGAGGTGAAAGTGCTGCCATTTCTTTGGAACAGACAGCTATTATTTCACAAAATTGGATATAAATACAGTATAGAATTGGTTTATGCATACATAATTTAGAAACTGATAAACTTGCATGACCAGGCTTTAAAAAATATCTCTCCCTCCTTCTGATTGGTGATGATGAAGCATAAAACAGATGCAAAACTCCCCTCTGGATATGAAAGTAAGCGCTGATGTAAACACACTGGTTCCTCCCCAGCAGGCAGTGAGCAGCCAGACCTCACAGCTCAGTGCCTGCCACAGTCAGATTTGCTGCTTTCATTTCACTGTTGGTATCATTAGGAGCTTGCACGCTTTTGACACCAGAATGAAAGGAATTTGAAGTGAATAGACATGACAGCTTTCATTATTTCCCGCCTTTTCATCTGAGTCAAGCTCTTGCATATATTGGATTAAACAAGCATGAGAAGAGTTGTTGCGTAGCTCTCGGTTTGCAACTTCACTGGCGACTGACAATCATATCAAGATCAGATTGAAGTCGGGAGTGTGGGAAAATATGATATGCTCCTCCAAACGTGTGGACCCATTCAAACAGTCATTTTGACAGGCTTTGAAATGCACCCCGGCACCTTTTTATTGGACTTTTAACAATTTTATTTAACAATATTTGAATGCTCCCTTTTTTAAATTCAAGGTGACAAGGCAACACTTGGCTGCTGCTATGCTGGAAACGTGCTCATTATACAGACTGCATGTTTCTCTTCTCTGCTAAATCTAACTAATACACTTGGCTGTGGATGTTGTTGTTGTAGTAAGCTCACCTCTTTTATGTCCTCTATTGCTGTTTGTTATGTAGAGTATTGCCTGAAATGTGTGCTGACATCCATTTGGACCTGACTGGATCTGAACAGACTCAGTTGGCTATGATTGGGTCTGGCTGAACTTCTCACCTAAACTTGGGTTTGAGTCAGTTTAAAATACATAATTTGCTGTTTTTGAATTTGTAGCTATATTAAAGTTAAACAATACATACGTTTGCCCTCACTTTAAATGCTATCTATTAATCTGAACTGTTTGGGTGTGAGTTGCTGAGTGTTGAAGATAGGCCAATCTGCTATAGAAATGTGTGTTTTCTCTCAAATATAATGAAACTAGATGACACTTGGCTTGTTGTGAACAAAGCAGCAAAATTACATTTGAAAAACTTTACAGCAATGTCTTTTTTCAGAAGTCAATACTAAAGATAGCCCTACACCTAGTTGTGAGCAGTTTAAAGAAGGATAGCCTACATATTTCTTGCAGAAGGACCCTCTCATCTAGCTATCGTCTGCTAGCTATGGTTGGCTATAGTCTGCTAACTAGTGTTGGCTAGCTATTGTCTGCTAGCTATCGTCTGCTAACTAGTGTTGGCTAGCAATTGTCTGCTAGCTCTCGTCTGCTAACTAGTGTTGGCTAGCTATTGTCTGCTAGCTATCGTCTGCTAACTAGTGTTGGCTAGCTATTGTCTGCTAGTGTCTGCTAGCTATTGTTGGCTAGATATCGTCTGCTAACTAGTGTTGGCTAGCTATTGTCTGCTAGTGTCTGCTAGCTATTGTTGGCTAGATGTCGTCTGCTAACTAGTGTTGGCTAGCTATTGTCTGCTATCTATCGTCTGCTAACTAGTGTTGGCTAGCTATCGTCTGCTAACTAGTGTTGGCTAGCTATTGTCTGCTAGCTATTGTCCGCTAGCTATTGTCTGCAAGCCAATGTCTACTAGCCAATGTCTGCTAGCTATTGTCTGCTAGCCAAAGTCTACTAGCAACCCAGTCTCACGGCATTTCGTGTTATAGTCACGACATTTAATCTATTATTTTGAAATTCAGTTCCTGACGTAGGCCAAAAAAGCCAGATATTATGGAATTAAACAAATAAATAAAAAGGAGGTTAATTGTGTGTTGTTGGTGAGTAAATAACAGTGTGTTATTTAGAAAATAATAACAAATTAGAAGGAAAAACATATTTAAAAAAATACAGATTTCAGTATTCTGAGGCTCTGAGCCCCATTTATTTTCCTCACAGAAGACAAAAAAGTCCGACATTAGGCCTATACGATTTAAAATAAAAACAATAATCGTGGCTTGATATTGAGTAATAATATGTTTTTATGAACCCCACAGCTTCAGGTGTTCTGCTGGCACGAAACAAACTACCAATAGAAATACATTGCTTTTAAAATCGTTCTGTGTGACTAGGGGAAAATCGTGTTGGTGAACACGAATCAATAGATTAAATGTCGTGACTAACACGAAATGCCGTGAGATTGGGTTGCTACTAGCCAATGTTTGCTCTTTTCAGTTAACCGTAAACAAAAATAGTTCCTTCTTGAAACTGCTCAAAAACTGTTTGTGGATTTTCTTTAGTAACCAAGTCATACATTTGGGAAAACAGACATTGCTATTTAGTTTTTTTTTAATGTATTTTCTTTGTGCTAAAAGCATCACAAGCTGAGTGCCATATAGTTCCCATGTATTCAAGAGAAGGCAGATATCTTTACAGCCAATATGTCAACATGCAGCAGCTCACACCAAAGCATACTACATTGATAAACAGCACCACAGATGAGAGGAAACATGTTGACATGTTAAACCTTAACATGTGCAAAACCAGTACCCCCAGTTTAGGTTGGTAGGCCTACTGAACAATCTTACCATATTTTCAGGATCCAGTCAAGCTCTGCTGTTCAGATTTGTGTGTGTGTTGTGGCCTCTCTCAGTTCACTGACAACTTCAGCTTGTGCTAACCTTCAGATGCTCTCTCTGCTCTTTCCTCTGCTTCCCCCTGCAGGAGCCCGTCTCTACTCCTGCCATTTATGAAGAGCCGTTTGCTGATTTCAAGGTTATTCATTCACCTTCATCATGCCTCACCCATCTTCTCTTTTCCTTTCTGCATCCCTTACGGCTAAACTGCTTCCCTCCCTATAACTGACCGACCAGTTTCTAATGATATATAAAACATAGCCCGAAGCCATAAAGATTGACGTTTGTTATGGTCACTGGCTACTCAGCTGCAGTCATCCATCATCTTGAGTGGGAATTTAATGAGTGGGTGGAAAACAAAATCCCTTATGCTTGTCTATTGCAGACACGATCCAGTTTTAACTGTGATGTAATTAGCTCGTGTGTGTGTAATTAATGAGTGGCATTACTTACATGAGGGGCCTCAGGAGTTTCATTATAATCAAACGGTTTCCCTCCTCGTTGGATCCTGACCCCTTAAAACAGAGCGGTTTAATTTCTGAGTGATCCCGTGCCACGTGTTGAATGCCAGTACTTTATTTTTGTTTTATTTGAATGCTTGGTTACAACTGACCGAAAAATCCACAAAACTATGAAGTTAAGAATTATGTTTTTAAAGTTTTCAGGCTAAGACGCTAATTTAATTTGGTATATATATGTTCTATTATGTTCATTCATTTTATGCAATTTGAAATGTCCTTAAATACAAACTCAGGCTCAAACTGTTAACTTTTCCTTTCTGACATGACTGCATGCCCTACAATACTGTAAATATTAATAATACACATTGCATGTACACTGACTCAGATTTTGAGTCCTCCATGAATCAAAGCAAACCCTCAAACACAAGGATGCCACTTCCACTCCATATCATGACATCTTCGCCATCCCTCCGCCTGCAGTGATATAACCTCAGAGTGGTGATCCTCTCTCTGTACCCGTCCCAGAAGGAGCTCGGGGACAGGAGGCCTCTGCCCAGATTAGCGTCAGAGGAGGAGCAGGACCGGGACACGGTGGCCTGCATGAGAGAATCCCACCTGGGCATCGAGCGTAAATGTTCCAGCATGACGGTGAGCTCCACGTCGAGCCTGGAGGCGGAGGTGGACTTCACCGTCCTGATGGACCTCCACTCCGGATTTGAAGACTTCTCTAAGGGCACGTCGGAGCACGGAGAGCGGGACAGGCAGCCTGAGGTGTGCCGGGAAGATTTTGAAGAGACCTCCAGGTTCTACTCTGCCCGTCTGATGGGCTCCCGGGACAAGTCTCCCATAGAGGAGGGAACACATCACGAGGTAGACTGATGAACATACTGTGGAGGAAATATGTATTTGATCCCCTGCTGATTTTGTAAGTTTGCCCACTTACAAAGAAATGTACAGCCTATAATTGTAATGGTAGGTTTATATAAACAATGAGAGTAAGAATATGAAAAAGAAAATCCTTAAAAATAGAAATGTCTTTGTAAGTGGGTAAACTTACAAAATCTGCAGGGGATCAAATACTTATTTCCTCCACTGTATTCGTCCTTCATCATCATCTTCATCATCCCCCGCTGGATTCACCCTGCCTTGCTGGACTTGGTGCCATAACTACGGCAGCTTTTTATATTATTTGTTGTTGTTGTTGTATAATTTTCCATTGTTTGAATTTGATGACATCTGTTTATTTTGGTTCCTCGATCTACTTTTTTTGTTCTCCTTGTATTTAGATTTTATTGTTGTCTACTGGATTTCCCCTGCTGTTTCACCATCATTTGCATGATTCCATTAAACCAAACAATCCAATAAAAGCAAAGTAATTTAAGTGTTTGTTCCTTTAAGTAAACATTGTTGAAATGATTTGTTTTGAAAAATACGCTGTCTGCAAGAATTGCGTCATTTTCTTGTGAACACATGATGACTTAACTCTACTGTTATCGTTTCACACAGCCTCCCGTGGCAAAGAAAGAAGCCAGTGCTGTGAGTGCGGCCCACATCATGAAGAGGGCTGATAGCAAGAAGGAGACACACACAAATGGATCAGAGGCCCACTCCAACATCATGAATGCCTCACCGCAGGTAAAGAAACAATCAGAATAGTAGCAAAGCCTATGTTATAGTCATACAAAGAGCTGCATAATTCATGAATCTGCACATTGCATGTACTCAATAATAGCTCCACTGTTCCGTCCTTTAGTGAGTTGTGACATTATATCGTGCATAATCCTGTTAGAAAATCAAAAATTCGAAATACTTGCGGTTAGGGTCACTAATAATGACCCTATACCCGTCAGATGAGATGGGCAATCACGCTCATATTCGTCATTTCCATTTTGAAAGGAGTTTCTAAAGCAAGAAACCCCTTTCAAAATCCCCCTTTGTGCATCTCTTAAACTTACTACATTAGTTATATCTAGTAAGTTTCCCCGTTCAGAGGAAAGTACGTGTTGCACAATTTCGTTGGGCCGATAAAGTGTCGTTTGACACTTTTTTTGGCTGTATAGTTTTTTCATTTATCCAACTGACTGGTATGGATCTACTTGATCAACATGACACAAGCCTATTTGTATGACAATCCTTTCCCACAAACACAAACAACCGATACTCTGTTGGTCAATCGCTCAGAAAATACACACTTTTGTTCCACAATGGCAAAGGCTGCTTCTCTGCCTCTGATTGGCTATACTCGCTGCCTTCTGTGGTTTTGTTAGTTAGGTCAAAGCTTGAGTTGATACTAATACAGTGTGTAATGTAGGAGCTGTGAGCCTTGGGAACAATGGCTTTTTGAGTCTGGGTAACAGGCTTATGGAAAATGTCGATCAAATGGGACGTTTTCCAGACTATTGAGTGTTTAGAACAATTGTGTAGCACCCACTATTATTTTGATTGTTTTTTTTGTATGTACATCATATTTTAAATATCAATGCTGAAGCTAAAGTATTAGCAGAAAGGAAGGACAATACTCATCACAGGACACAAACACCAGACTTGTAAAATGTTTTTCAGAGCTTTGTAGTCAGTTTTGATTAGAGGAAGATGCATGTTCCCTGGGCTCTGGTCGAATGAAGCCCAAATTCCCCAGACAGGGAGGACATAATAGCATCATCATGGAGTGATTAAAGTATTGACAGTGTATTAATGAGGATGATGAAAGCAGGTGTGAATCCCATTCATCTCCGGAGGCAAAGCTTTGAGTGCCGGCCGACTGTCCCGCAGGTGCCTTATTAAAATGCAATCATTGCGCGGCTCTTTAGCAATGCGGCTAATGGTGTGCGGGAACTCAGGCATCGATGGGGGGCCTTTGAAGTTTCAGATCAGTGTTAAGTCCAATTTCAAAGATGCCAGAGTGAGACGTCTTTGGAGGGGTGGACAAAAAAAATAGTGTGTGCACCTGCAGCAAATGGAGGATGACATCATGGATAGGCAGACAAAGATCTACAGCAGTGACTCTGTTGAGCCAGCAGAGGGCGCTGTGTCATGTCTTCTGAGGCTCAACAGCAGCACAAAGGCTGGATGATGCCAACTGACTGCATGACACTGACAGCCTCTGAATTTGGGCAGCGTTGCCACCAGACTGCAGTAAAAGCAATGTTTTCATCTTGAGGATTACCTCAAGGAGTTTGCACATGCTGATATTGGTTTGATTGACACTCACGGCTATGAAATGTGTTGGCAATACAAAGCCTTGTCTCTTACATAATGCTCAAGAGATTATACCATACGAGTATCTTGGGGATGTTTTGACTTTATTACTTGGACTAGTTTGCTTTAAAACAATACAATTAGACAAGGTAGTAGATGCGGATTCAATAGGCTACATACAATTAATTAGAAGCATTTACAGAGGTCTATTCAGTTGCTCTAAAATGAGACTTTCCTTTTTTATAAAATCGTTTCAGATTTTTAATGGCTTGTGCAAAACAAATGTTTGGTTTATCTGATTTTAGTTTGTGAGTTGGCAGTTATACCGTCCCCCTTAACTGCTCTTTGACAGTGCAGTTTAGTTGTTTACTGACTTAATAACTCCACATTTTAGCATTTCATAACCTTTCCAGTGTTTTGAGCAAACATTAATTGCAAGTACACAAACTAAACCCAGTGCTGGAAGTACATTGACTCAAGTACGTACTGTGCAACTTTAGTCATACTTTACTTGAGTATTTCAATTGTATATAACTTTTTAATTCTTTTCCACTATATCTCAGAGGGAAATATTGCACTTTTTATTCTACTGTCTATTTATCTGACAACTATAATTTAAATTTAGGTCAATATTTATGTATATATCAGTTAAAAATATGCATTCTTTTTAATTAAAGTTCATTAGGTTAGTTCAAATTAGCCCGTAATTGAGACATCATTCAAATGCTGCTTTGATAAATAAATACATATTATTCCAATCAAATATATATATAGGCTATATAATATTCTAATTTACATAAGTAAGTGTATATTTTGATTCTAATTATTCTGTACTTTTACTAGTAAGAGTTAGAACGTCGGACTTTAACTTGCAATGGAGTATTTGTATACCATAGTTAAACTTTTACATATATATAAATATCTCTCCCACCGCAAACTGAGGCTGCAGCCACACAAGGACGATGACGGTCGTATCTGCTACAGTTCTCTATCAGATAGACGGTTCGGCCACACGAGGCCGAGAGGGAAACGCAGATAACGGTAACGGGTCCCAAGGTGGGTAGATCTGCGGACGAAACGCTCTGGGGGGCCAAACGGCTCTGTAATTACGCCCTATAACGATCATTTCCTGCTAACGATGACGCAATAGCCCCAGTGTTTTGAGCCAGGTCCCGGTATCTCGCAGACAGTGCACCCAGCAGGAGCTTCCAGCTAGATATGATCGATATGGACATAAACGCGAGTGAAGTCTAATCGGACAGGAGAGGAGACACGCAACTCTGCATGATACAGCTCCGCCCGCTGTGATGGAGCGATGAGCGGAACAAAACACATACTTCAAGCTAGATCATCACCCTTAGCTATTTTAAATACCTCTCAAACTACCTAGTTATAAATATGTTTATTTTTACTGTAGGGTCACTTATTACTGGATCAGCTGCTGCATGAGACTACGGATACTGACGGGCTGTCAGGAGAGGGGGAGGAAAAGAGAGGCTCCGTCCTCCGTGTATTATTCTTATATTATTATAGAGTCGTTATTCATTTGTTTTAAAGCTCTATAAATAACAAAGACGACCTTTGACCGGCACTTTTCTAATTTTGTCCGTAAGATTTAAACTTTAACGGACATGTTGACCGGCCAAACTTCACCTCTGCTGCTAAATCCAGCACGGAGAATAAACAGAAGGGCAACCATGGAAAACCATGCATGAGCGAGAAGTCTTCTTCGCCGCTTTTGGTGTATTTTGTGGCAGAAGTACAGCGCCACTTACAGGCCCGGCATATGTACTACAGCGTCTCCAGCGGTTTGAGCTGTCTCGTGTGGACGGACACGTTTCTGGTGCCTATTGCGTGTGGGCAGAAGACTTTTTTTGATAACGATTTTGGTGCGTTTCCGTTATTGTCCTTGTGTGGCTGCAGCCTGAAGCTCACCCACAGACATGTTGTTTCCTGCTTGTGCTTCCATAGACAGGCATTGTGGCTTTTCACCACAGGTAGTCCTAATGACATTAAACCCTGTCAGTGAGCCAGCATCATCATCAATAACACTTTGTCACGGCAGACATTTTTGCTCGTCATGTCAGTGAAAGCCCAGGTGAAGCAAATGTCATTAAGGTGCGCTTGGTTTAGTGTCTCAGAGAGCCATGACAGTGAGCCAGCATCCACAGTAGACCTTTTCTCACACAGGAGAATCAAAGGTATAGATATTGAAATTATTGATGGCTGAATTCTATTTGGCTGCTTTGATTTCAGGTATGCTTGCTCTCTGTTACTCTCACGAGGCACTTGACAGAAAAGAGACAATGTCTGCTGTGAAAAAAGTAACTGGTGTGCAGTCATTATTAAAGTTATGCTTGTGTGTAAACATGATATAATTGAGATTAGAGTCAAATCCAATCAGACAGTGCAATACTGAATAGTTGTGTTGATGCTTCTGTTGATGCTTACTTTTCTCCCACAATGCAATGTAATCTTACTTGATAAATGTAATGTGTCTTTCTAAAGTTGAATCAAGCCCCCAGGCAGTGCGACATACTTTTATGCAAAACTTTACAGTGGCCAAACGGTGGTACTACAACTTCTGTGTCAATCCGTGACTTCATTGGGCCCGTAAAATACTTTTTGCCATTGACTTACATTAGGAAAGAAATGTCTGTGAATGAGCGGATACTTTTGTTTAAAACCGAATCAACTTATTTAAATCATTAGGGTTTGAAAGTTTTAAAATGTGTTAAAAGACTAATTCAGAGTTATTTTGAAGTGTCCTTGGGCAAGATACTTAACCCCAAATTGCTGCTGTGTGGACACATCTATTATTGAAGGGTTTGTAAGTCGCTCTCGATAAAAGCGGCAGCTATATGACCTGTAATGTATTGATGGCAAGACACTGTAACAAGTTCCCAAAACCAATCGCGGTGCCATTAATTCCCTCACTCACCTGGAGGCTGAACATATCTCAGTTCTCGCACGTCTTGAATACTTACCAGACCTTTCCTCCTTTGAGCCTGTTTGGGATAATCAGGATTAGTGTGCCCAACACTAATTCCAATTCCTTCCAATACCCAGTTCCTTTGCACAGCCATTAACCACTCTACAGGCCAACCTGATGAACTCCATTTTGTAGCACTGCATGTGGTCACACCAGATGACTGACTGTTTGTGTTGTCTTCAGGCTAAGAAATTCATTTCTGTAGCCTGAGTCATGTGAAATCCCAATCAATGTCTTCTGAGATTAAACTGCACATTTTTGATTAGCCTTTATTGTGAGCAGCCCAAGGCACACCTGTGTAATTATCACCCTTTTAATCAGCATCTTGATAAGCTGCTCCCGTCAGTAGATGGATCATCGTGGCAAACGAAACACTCTAAAGTAGAGAGTATCATGTCTTGTGTGTGCATAGCAACTCAACTCAAAATGGGAGCAAAAACAAAGTGTTCATATTTTCAGCGTAAAGCCATTGTGTCTGCCTCACTGATGTCTTTAATATTCTGATTGAAGTAATGCTTCTTTGATCCCCTATTATTGTATTTCTTTAATGTCGCTTGACTTTCATCATCTTAAGAATTGAATAAAGGCCCACACACGTCTGTTCCTCTCTCCTTCAGAACCACGGAGGCGTCAGCCCGAGGGAGGCTCCTGCTGCCCTGAAAGAAAATGGCTCGCCTGTAAGTATCTCACAGAAGTGTGTGTGTGTGTGTGTGTGTGTGTGTGTGTGTGTGTGTGTGTGTGTGTGTGTGTGTGGTGTGTGTGTGTGTGTGTGTGTGTGGTGTGTGTGTGTGTGTGTGTGTGTGTGTGTGTGGTGTGTGTGTGTGTGTGTGTGTGTGTGTGTGTGTGTGTGTGTGTGTGTGTGTGTGTGTGTGTGTGTGTGTGTGTGTGTGTGGTGTGTGTGTGTGTGTGTGTGTGTGTGTGTGTGTGTGTGTGGTGTGGTGTGTGTGTGTGTGTGTGTGTGTGTGTGTGTGTGTGTGTGTGTGTGTGTGTGTGTGTGTGTGTGTGTGTGTGAGCACAGCAGATAAATAAACGTTGTGCCATTGTGCTGCCGCTGTCTCCCTTTGTAACCTTGACCTTTACTTCATACTTTACTTCAATCTGAACAATTGTAAAAATGTTATGTGTGTGTGTGTGTGTGAGCCAGTTGTTCACAGGACGTTGCTATAATACTTGTATTTGATGTCATCAAAATGTCTCAGTTTTATGAGACAGAAGATGTGGATGTCAATATTTGAGATGAATTTGTTGGCAATAACAATGATTCTTCTGATATCTTTGATATTTGTTCGCTTTTATTACGGGGAAATAGCTGCAATTTAACAGAAAAGTATGTGCAGCAAACCTGTGTGTGGTGCCTTGAAGGTAGAGCTACCATTATTTGAATTATTTTGATAAAGGTTTAATAGTTAAGGTTACTTTTCATGTGAAGCATTTAGAAAATGCTGTTTTCAACCTCTCACATATGGATATTTCCAGCTTTTCCCGTTTTTTTTTATCATATACTGAATATCTTTCGATTTTGGTTTGATGAAACAAGACATTTAAAGAGGCCCTATTATACTCTTCCTGTGGTTTGTTATATCGGTATTGTCTGCAAAAGCTCAAATCCCCTCCTGAAACGCTTCCATTGGAGTCCTTTGTTTACTATCAGAACATAGTGACATAATTGCTCAACCACATTGTACGTGATAGGCTAAGGGGCAATACATCTCTAAGCGGTTGACCAACCACAACAGAGCCGGCCAGCTAACCAATCAGAGCAGACTGGGCTCTGGTTTCAGACAGAGGGTGAAAAGAGTTGCTGCAGCACAGGCAGTATGAGAAAAATAAAGAGCTTTTTCAACATTAAAACATGGAGACACTACATACTGATATACACCTGAACATCAGCAGGAGAGGACTCTTTAAAGTAGAGACACTACATACTGATATACACCTGAACATCAGCAGGAGAGGACTCTTTAAAGTAGAGACACTACATACTGATATACACCTGAACATCATCAGGAGAGGACTCTTTAAAGTAGAGACACTACATACTGATATACACCTGAACATCAGCAGGAGAGGACTCTTTAAAGTAGAGACACTACATACTGATATACACCTGAACATCATCAGGAGAGGACTCTTTAAAGTAGAGACACTACATACTGATATACACCTGAACATCATCAGGAGAGGACTCTTTAAAGTAGAGACACTACATACTGATATACACCTGAACACCAGCAGGAGAGGACTCTTTAAAGTAGAGACACTACATACTGATATACACCTGAACATCATCAGGAGAGGACTCTTTAAAGTAGAGACACTACATACTGATATACACCTGAACACCAGCAGGAGAGGACTCTTTAAAGTAGAGACACTACATACTGATATACACCTGAACATCAGCAGGAGAGGACTCTTTAAAGTAGAGACACTACATACTGATATACACCTGAACATCAGCAGGAGAGGACTCTTTAAAGTAGAGACACTACATACTGATATACACCTGAACATCAGCAGGAGAGGACTCTTTAAAGTAGAGACACTACATACTGATATACACCTGAACATCAGCAGGAGAGGACTCTTTAAAGTAGAGACACTACATACTGATATACACCTGAACATCAGCAGGAGAGGACTCTTAAAGTAGAGACACTACATACTGATATACACCTGAACATCAGCAGGAGAGGACTCTTTAAAGTAGAGACACTACATACTGATATACACCTGAATATCAGCAGGAGAGGACTCTTTAAAGTAGAGACACTACATACTGATATACACCTGAACACCAGCAGGAGAGGACTCTTTAAAGTAGAGACACTACATACTGATATACACCTGAACATCATCAGGAGAGGACTCTTTAAAGTAGAGACACTACATACTGATATACACCTGAACACCAGCAGGAGAGGACTCTTTAAAGTAGAGACACTACATACTGATATACACCTGAACATCAGCAGGAGAGGACTCTTTAAAGTAGAGACACTACATACTGATATACACTTGAACATCAGCAGAAGAGAACTCTTTAAAGTAGAGACACTACATACTGATATACACCTGGACATGAGCATACTAGGGCCCCTTTAAAGTCATCATTATGTGTGTGTGTGTGTGTCTGCAGTGTGTTCCTCAACGTGTGTGTTGCCCCTCTAAAATACTCCACAGGTAAAAGCTGCGACCCAGGAGAGGGACTCTGTTGTTTCCCCGCTGACCATCACAGCTGAGAGCGTCACCACAGCAACCACAACTCAAGTTACCAAGGTAACACCTTATCTGTTCTCATGGTTACAGTCTAATGTCTGGAGCTTGGAGTTAGCCAACACCCAATCACAATCAAATGATCCCTTCATTACAATGTCAGCCTTTCAGGGCAATTTTAATCAATGAGCTTTTGTTTATTTCACACTATTGATCACTTGTTGTGGGAATAGATGACCAAATAACACTAAAAGTTTTTTTTCATTAAAAATTATGCATAAGAAAACAATCTATATGTTGTTACACAATTTAATGTAATGACATTATATGTCTTTACTGAGACAATAGATACGAAATGATATATTATATGTTATTGAATGATAACATTGATTAAACATTTCATCCATTTTTTTATTCTTTCTATCTGAATACTTTTCACAGACTGTGAAAGGAGGTTACTCAGAGACAAGAATCGAGAAGAGGATAATAATCACAGGAGACGACGATGTGGACCAGCATCAGGTGAGGAGGAGTGTAACGGAGATAATGCACAATTGCACTGTGCCTAAAGTCACAAGGCAAATGAAGCTATAATGTGAGGTTTCTGACCCCTGTGTGGATGCTTCGTGTCCCCAGGCCCTCGCCATGGCCATCCAGGAGGCCAAGCAGCAGCACCCTGACATGCTGGTGACAAAAGCTGTGGTTATCAGGGAAACAGAGTCTCCTACTGAGGAGATGCAGCAGCACTCAGAGGTGCGTGACCCCTACAGTGTTCACAGTCTGGTCATGTGATCAGAGTGCAGGTTACTAGATTACTACGCTTTGTTTGCCTGGTTAGATTGCTGAATGGGTTTACTGGACATAGGCCCTCGGACCAGAGGGGACAGAGGGACCCTCGCCCAGAACCTCTGCTTTATGTGGGTGCTAACATTTCATGTAAGAATGTGAATGAAGTGATTACCTTGGGAAGCAAAACAACTAGAGAAGCAAGATAATTACAAAGAGACATCAAAGCCTATGAGGAGACACCATATTCTAACAGATATTCAAAATATGTAGAAATAGGAATACAACAAAGACATGTGAATGACCACAAAACACGTACAAGGCGTTACAAATACATTAAAAAGATAACACAAACTGAACACCAAAGAAGTACAAAGACATGTGAATGACTACAAATACACACAAAACAACTACAAGGAGAAATAAAATGACCACAAAACGATAATAAGGAGAATCATAACTTGTACAAGGAAACGAAGAGAATACAAAGGGTCACAAAACAACTGCACCAATACAAAATGACTTAAAGGGGTACCGGAAAGAGAGGGTAGGGGGCTTCAAATACAAACAAATAAATAAGTGAGATTCTGGGCCATGCTTGGCACAACACAATGACAAAGACATGCAAAAAGACCTTATAGACACAAAACGACTACAAGGAGAGGCAACATGACTACAAAGACACACAAACCATGTTCAAGGAGGCACACACATACTTAAATAGATGCAACATGACCTTTATAGAGACACATAACAACTGCCACAAGACACACAATGACTGCAATGATTCAAAATGGCTCGAAGTGACACAACAAAAAAGTTACTAAAAAGACCACACACTTTTAATATAGTGTCTAATCTATGTAGGAGTAGTCAATCAAAGTCAAAGTCAACTTTATTGTCAATCTTTCAGTATGTGTGTACAGATGGAGGGATCGAAATACCGTTTCCCACAATCCCGAATACAAAAACAAATATATATAAACATATGTATGCAAATATGTATAAACCTATATACACAATAAAATACACATTTATACATATGCACACATTAAGACCTAAATAAAAGCACAACAATCCATATAAAATAACAGTCACATCAATATCTTTGAGTGTGCATTGGTGAAGAGCCTTTCCACCTCTCATCTCCCTCCATGTTTGTGTGTGATGACTGATGTTGATGTCTCTGTTGCAGTCCTGATCGGCCATGAAGGCTCCTGAGACGGGGGGACAGGAGAGGGTCCTGTTTGTCCCCTGGCAAACCCCTCAGACACCAGGACCCTCCACCCCGCCTGTGTAAAAACACCAACACCAGAACAGTTCCTCCTCCACTCTGTACCCTTTAGACGGACCAACTGTGACACCGCTTGTGACCCAACCCGACCCTCCACCACTTTAGGGAACAGGAAGAATCCGCTATTGGATGATTCACCACTTGGTTCATCAAGTCACGGCTGTTTTACTTCAGCTCTGTTGTCGACAAAAAACGTAGTTGCATTTGATGTCATCTTGATATTTGAATCAATCAACCCAATTCCCTCAAAAATGGCTTCTGTCACATATGAAAGGTATAACAGCATGGGTGTATAAAGAGAATTGGATACCAAAACAGACTTTACTCGAGAACAGAAATACTCGGATCATCCATGGATCTTACAGCATCCCCATTTTACAACTTCTAGGCCCTGCTTATTTATATTGATTTATCGATAAGGGCTAATCAGTGTTTGTCCTGTTTTTATTTACTTACTTACTAAAATCCCAATGTAAGTCAATGAGGGCCAAAATGACATCACGGACTGTAGTACCACCGTTTGGCCACTAGGAAATTTGCTTCCACGCCTGGTCGCTTCTTGTATTAGAGCAGAGGGAAATGACGGAGACAATGCTGGTGGTGGGGTGAGACGGGGAGGGTGGTGTCAGGCGGCCTTTTTGCTCGACGTCGCCACCTCCTGGCTGTGACCTTCAGTATAATCAACTGCTGTCTTATTAGCTTTTTACATTTTTATCTATAGAGGATCTAATTTATGTCCAGTGTTTGCTTGTTTATGAAATATGTATAATATCAGATGACTATAATCTGCATGATTCAATAAAAAAAAATAGCAGAGGGAATGAAAAAAATAAACCACTTGTCCACATTTGAAATCCATAGAAAGATAATGGGACTGAACTGTAAAAATCCCTTGATGGACACATGGAGGAGACGGACAGTTGCGTAACACTTCAGTGGACAGCTGGGACAATCACTGTCCACATCACATTCAACGTTCCCACTTTCATTTTGACGTCTATTTGCCATCTACACTGAGAAATGCTGGTCACATGTTTTGGGCAAAGTTAAAGGATTTTTAAAGATATTTTAATATAAATAATGTTTTATCTAATATGTGTTGATACTTCCTAATTTGCTTTTACTGACTTCCATCTTGAAACAGAGACTGTAATGTTATTCTTGTGCTTTTAGACGTTTTAGTGTTGATGTGTGAGACATACGGAGGGGATTTAGGTGCCACAACAAAACGGAGAAGTAGGACTTTTTATTCATTGACAATTAGCATTTTTAGAATCAACTTATTTGTTGAAATGTCGAGAAAAACTTGAAAAGACAAACTTTGAAAAGTCAAAACAACTAATAAATCAAAGATTCTGGCGTTGAATAGCCTACATTATTAAAATGTTGACTATATTCTGGAATTGTAAAACTTCCTCCTCATTTCCCCCTTAGCCCTTATATCATACTCTTCTGTAGAAACCTCTTTATTTAAGAGCTTCATTAAAAGTTACGTTTCACTGGAGAACCTACAAAGTTAATCACAGACCCAAAACTTTTAAAAATGGTGAAGTTGTGAATGAAAAATGCATTGAATTTGGTTGCTTATAATAGCAGCTTTTAAACACCAAAATAAATGTATGTTACAGTTGGATCCATTACAAATCCACACTGCCTAAAACGTTCAAAACCACAAGAAAATAACAAGGGTACTTTTTTTCTGTTCAGTTGGATTAACTCAATTTAAGTTATGGTGTATGAGTTGTAATGTATTTATAGGAGTGGTGAATGTGAGGCCTGTACTTGTTCTCCCTGTTCCCCCGACAGACAAAGCCAAGACTTCATAGTGTGACCTAAACGAAGCGCCGTCTAACCCCGTTGGCTGTCACACAACTAGTGTTGCAACATTCCGAGATGTTTCCAAGATGGAAACTTGAACAGGAATTTATGGGAATAAACTGGGAATTTTCTAAATTGAAGGTTGGCTCTTTATAGGGAACTTAAATATAGTTGGGGAAAGTATATTTTAGCATAATCTTGACTAAAACAAACAGATGCCATTCAAGTACACTTGAATATCCATGCCATAGCACACTGCTTACTGCATGGCTATTGGGACCACACCCCCTACAGGCACTGTGCATTCCTCCATCACATGCACACATGAGTAATATTTAACTCAACATTCCTGTTTTCGTTCTTCAATGAAACAAATAATTGTTCAATAAAATAATGAAATCAAATCAAATTAAAATTTTATTTTTTAAATCTGTTGAAATGTCATGTTTTTTGTTTAATTTTGCATCGAATATTTCCAAAATTCCCCAGCTTAACTTCCCATAGAAACCTTCCGGAAATGTTCCGCCCCTTTGCAACCCTACACACAACACATACCCTGGATGACCTTTAATAATATACTATGCATCACTTACCATACATAATAACCCCTGTGATGGAGCCTGACCCGCTTTAGCCGTCATTGTTAACTTCGTGCTACTGCTAACCGAAAGGCAGCGCTTGTGAGATTTTGCAATAAGCAACCATTATTCCACCCTCTCTCCTCTTAAGGGAGACAACTGTGAACTCTCATGTGTAACCAAAACCTATAACGCAGAGTTTGTGATATTAAAAAGGAGCTTTTCCAACACTTGTGACCATGGCTTTGTCCCCCCCGTCGTCTAACCCTCCCAAATCCCCCGACCTCAAACTGTCGCCCTGCTGATGATGTGTCTGAGGAAATGAGATTCCCCAAAACTGGTTATTTGTATATTATATTTTGTTTCTGGTCGTATGACACTGGACTGTTGTGAAGGCATATTTGTTACTGTAAACCTGTGATACTCAACTTAGCGAACCAAATCTGGCCCTCAATAGGATCCCCATCGACCAATTATTAATTCAGAAAATAGAGAAAGCGATTGACAGTTGTAATTGTATGATGCTTTTAATATACATTTGGAACAATAGTGCTCAAATTTGCATCTAAATTGATCAAAATACTTTTTTTATTCATACAAAAAGGGATAAAAAAAAGCTACCTTGCCCCAATATTTAACAGAAGAATATGTTAAATTCTTGTAAAATATTGGATTTATTTGTAATTTTGGCCTAGTGTCAACCCTGCTAAAGGAATATTGTCAATTTTCAAATAAAGCATTTCAATGAAAGAAGAATACAATTTGTATCAAAACCACATTGTGTAATGATATGAAAAATGTAATTGTTACGTTTCATTATTTAATCATTAGGTTATAAACAGCTTGAACACAACATGTACAACTATTCCCAGCTAGAATGTATTAATAATGCTTGATGCTTTGATGGTAACGTTTATTTGTGTTGGTTATTACATGAAGCATGTGTTATAATCATGAAAAGTAAGTGCATTTCCCACCTTTTGTAAAAACAACTGCAATATAAGATCCAATATGTCCAAATGCAAGTGTATTACATATTGCATTCAAGCTGTTTACTTATTATGTAATGTGGTGTAATTACACAATGTGTATTTTAATACATTTTAATATTTGTTTATGATCTAGCCCCTTGTATCCTGTCATTTTACAAAAGTGGCCCCCGGGCGAGTTGAGTATCTTTGCTGAAAACAGATGGGTGTAGTTTTGTACCGATGGATGAAATGACTGCATCATGAGAAGCGCTGTGTGTGTTTGGTGAGGTGGTGAATTGAAGGATGGAGGGCCTATATTTATGTATAGATATCCATACTTCTGTGTATAATCTGTAAAGTATGTAGAATCTAAGCAGGAGAAAGGAAGTGTTTTATAGGGGGAGATATGAGGCAGTCAGTGTAATCCCACCGCAGTAGAAGTGACACATGAATGGGTGCCTTATGTTGGGAGTCGTGGTTATGGGGGGAGTTTTCAGCGCCGTTAATCAACACGACCTCCCTCTCAGTCCAAGGTGTCTCGAAAGTGATTTACTGTCTTGTAAAATAATGTGACATTGAGCGTAGAGACGAAATAAGTATCTTGTTAAGCGAGATGAAAACATGTATTGGCCCCATTAGAAAACCAGCATAGTTCAGTTATTTATTTTCTCCATGAAGAGCATCAAACCGCTATTTAGCCTCCACCTTCAATTCTCCACTGCCTTTTGCTCTACATCCCCCTAGTGCTTGGTAGTGTGTACTTGCTGTATTTGCATTCAGTCTAAATGGAAAACATACATGCATAAATAAATGTCTCAATATGATTCAAACAATGTCTCTGACTCTGGAAAAAAGGAAGAGGGATTTGATCCATAATGAATGTTACTACTACACGTTAATAATTGATCACATGCAATAAAGGGTTGTGATGTTTTTTTATATGGGATCAATGTATGGTATTATTATGTAGTAAATCAAAAAGGATTATTACATTGTTTTGCACTGCCATCTTGTGGCCAGAATCACCAGATTTAAAAACAATATATTTGTTTGGTGTTAGTGCCATCTAGTGTATGTTCTGCTTTATGTTATTCAACATATAAATGGACTTCACCATGATCTCATACATTTTAGCATTGATATGTCATTAAATGGACTGAATTGACTTATGTTGCTTAAAGTAGCGTCTTACAGACAACAAGGTCACTTGATTAGTCATGATGAGGTTACTAACCCTTTTAGAAACCGTTGTATAACGTGTTTTGTGGCTCTGGGGCCATCCCTGATGTCATAATGAAACATACAAGGTTATCTGGGGTTGAGTGTTGAGTACATCATTTTTAAAGAATGCCTGTGGGATGTAGAGTTTGGAAGATGTGGCCCTTTATAATGAAGTGTGTTGTAAAGAGATGTTGCATTATCAAATCAAATCAAGTTTTATTTATATAGCACATTTATAAACGATTTTTGGTCGAGCCAAAGTGCTGTACATATAATAAAAATAGCCTACAGTAGAGACACTTTACAGCAAATGTGCAAATTATAAGAAGTGAATAATTTATTGTTTGTGGATATCATTTTTCTCATATTAGGGACCATACATTGGGATATCTACAGGGTGTCCGCGGGGTCTTACATAGTATTACAAATGTAAAAGTTGATAAATCAATTTAGCGAAAATTAAGGCTATTAAAAAGTATTAAACGGCATTTTCCAAGGTATTACATTTTGTAGCTTGTTTTCAATAAGTATATGGCCCAAAGAGGTTGTATTCTACAGTGTGCCTGAATGTAATCATTGCGTAGGTGTGTAGTGTGATTCTGTGTAGTTTATTTATGGAATCCCGTTGGGTTTGACGTCATCTGAACAGGACATCGCGCGCTCACTGCTTGATAGCGCGCGAAGGTCCGTTTACGCCGGTTGCTAAGCAACATCGTTATGGGGAAATGCAAGTGTGCGTCCAAATGGTTGGAAGATAAGGAGGAAGGACAATCAATACTGTATATAGTCAATGTGAGGTAAAGTGTGTCGCCAAGGTAACCGGTTAAAACTCAGTGGCGATGAGATCTTAAAATGTATGGAAAGGGTCTTAAAAAATTACATTTGACTTCAGGATTCCTGCATATACCCTGATATATTATGTATACATAGTATGACGATATACTTTATATAGTTTTATCCTTTACTCCTGTAGTGTGTTACCTAACCAGTAATCAACATTTTATTAATCAAATAATATTCTGAAGACCAATACTCAGTCAACTCTCTCACACAGGTCATATTGACTGACGGACCACCAGACATTGACATTGTTCTAGAAATCAATAATCTTTATTAACACAGTATAAACAACAAACAGCAACAGAGGAAGCCCTCATGTAGAGCGTACAGTAAATGGACAGAAGACCCAGTACACCTCCGAGGGGCCGACTGAGACAGAAGCATAGACATAAGGGCTGATCATGGGTCAGATTTCATGGTACACATACAGTATACACAAACCTATCTGATGCGTGAACCTTTGCACGTTCCTAAAGCCATTCAGTCGGTTTGCAGGTGGACAGAAGAGAGGGGACAAAGTACAGTCATGCTGCGCGACAGTTAGCTACAGTATGAAACAGAGTTATTACATAAAAACCAAGTAAATCATCTCTTTAGAAAGGTTCTTTTATATAAATGATTTGAAGTGTACAAAACAGTATTTTACACGTTTCTCGATGCATGAGCAAGACCCAGTAGCCTACAGCACACTTCCCTTCAAAGTACAAACTACTTAACTGGATTACAAGTTATATACAGACTGCTCTGCGCCTCTGTAGCACAGCAGTCCCACATGGCATCAGGACACTATGGGAAAAAGGAAAAAGATCAGCAGCATTGTCTTTTAAACAAGGACACACACCTATAAAAATGCACCAGGCCTCATATATTGCCAATATCCCATGCGAAACAGCAGAATGCCATTCAAACTAACCTTGGTATCCTCAGCATTGCACAAAGGATGCTGGCCCCTTCCCCTCGATCCCAATCACATACATTATCTATCAACCCCAGCAGCATGTAAACATCACCGCGGCTGCTTCTATGTTCCTAATGTTTCTGATATACATATGATAAGTTAAGGCTCTTTAAGGACCTGAGGATTTTGAACATATGATGAGGCACACAGAAGGCAAAGTATATCTCTAGACACAGGGCGAATCGCAAGAATGAGGAGCATGAGACAGCCACGAGGGTCTGGTCACGAGTGGAGTACAACGGCCAACGTAAAGGAGCCCAGTGGAGAAGCTCTCCAAAACAGCACGGCGCTATTTCTGGCAACAAGGTCAATAACTCAATCACATGGATGGCTTTAAGGACCCCATCGACTTTACATTCTTGGTCACCTTTAACCAGAGGACTGGTACCAAAACTTGATAAAAGCGATAGCATCCAGCATGATTTTTAGAACAAGGTTGTTGTTTTTGTTTCTATAATTACGCTGATGGAGTCATTAGCCGCGTTCACGACGCACCACTTTAGTTCCGATATAGTTCCGAAATGTCGCGTTCACACCAAAAAGAGCTGGAACTAAAATTAGTTTGTGGGAGAAAAAGGTTCCTATGTCTGATTGGCTGGGCTGATTGCAAACCACGCCCCGTAAAACTCCCAAAACGTTTTGTGAAGCCGCCATTTTATTATCATCGCATTAGCATTATTAGCATTAGCCCAGCGCACAAACGCAGAGAGACTAACTTATGGCAACACAAAAGAAAACATGGGAGCGGTGGAGATGAGGAGGTGTCGGCGTTCTGGCGATTTACTCGGAAGGCTTCAGTAGAAGCTGCTGGGAGTCCCAGCAGCTTCTACTGAAGCCAGTCCCCAACTCCGGGGACTTCGGGTGGCAGTATACGCTGTGAAGTTGTTTGCGGCCTGCCAGTAAAAAAGCAGAAGAAGAAGAAGTGACGTCAGCGGCTTCATTTGCCTAATCCTTCCCCAGGAACTTATTCCGGTGTGAACGCGATCTGTACTTAGTTCATGAGAACTAAAGAGTTCTCATGAACTAAGTTCTCATGAATCTTTGTGGGGAAAGTACTGCCGTGTGAAAGCGCCTAATGTGGTCATTCGATCTGTCCATGAAGCAATCCCTTTTGAGTGCACTTCTAATATAATTTACAGTTTAGATAGGACTAACAAGAGGCGTAAGCAATCTTCGGTTAGCAAAAAATCAAGTGGGTATGTTGGGTTCATTCCTATATGTTTTGATGGTCCTATGCTCCCAGGGTCCCAAGTTTTCAAAGGGTCTTGTTTTCAAAGGGTCTTATTTTCCCATAGTACTATGATCCCGGGCCCATATATTTTTACATGTGTAACCTATCTTTACTATAGATACTAAACTATGTGTGTGCCATAAAAAACAACCCAAATATCAATGTGTAAAGTCTTATGTGCAACTTTGAGGGTGTACAAGGTGTACATGTATGTATTAGTGTACGTTTTTTAAGCGTATTTCCTTACAACACATTTTCTTAACCCTAACCCTACAGATGTATCCCTGTGATGCTCCAAAGCAAGAAGACATTTGGAAGAAATCAAAAAGGGCATTTTGATTGAAGAACACAACTTTTTTGACAACTGTTTGATTGCTGCTACAGCCTCATGTTAGCTGCATCTTTTATAGTGTAGGCATACTTCAATGTGCCAGGATGGACAGAGGAATGATTATGAACACTATTAACTCAACACAAACGTAAGTATTGCATTACGACTGACTTGAGGAAATCCAATCCTTTTCGATAGTCCAGTTAGCATGAACTAGGAGGACGTTTTTCTACGGATTCATGATATACTGTATATAAAGAATCTTAAAAAAAAACTTAAACCGGCTAACTTCATCAAGTATGCTAACACTTTCCCAATTGTAAAGCATTAGCATGTGCTGTAGAGACGGATGATTTGTCCTCTCTTCATCTACCAGTGTTTGGTAAGATGACCATGAATGACCCAAGTCAATACAGTCCTTGGAGTGAAACAATTTAGAAACATTGCAGAAACAGAAAACACAGAGATGTTACAGACAACAGCTAAGAGTTCATTCACTTGAAGAAAAGAAACGTCTCCAATCTACAAGTATTGTCTTATTTGAGAAGAAGGTGCGCTGTCAAATCACATTCTTAGCGTCCAGACTGGAAAATTTGATGATGTTATTTGCCATGCACTTTATTGTTTTCGCCCCAGTAAGCCCAGACTGACTTCAAATTGATTAAGGACAAACACAAATCTATAAAGCTCAACATGTCATACAAAAAGATGCATATAAGACATTTTTCTCTTTATTTTTGTTTTTTTCTTATGAAAGCTGCTTTGGTAACAACATGGTCATGACATCGCTCAATCTCCTTTACTCGGGTGCTGAAGGGGACTCCTTCCCTGTCATCTGAATGGCGTATTTTTTTTATGTCTCCCTTTTGCCTCTAAAATCGAAATGAATGGATCTAGTTACACCAGAGTGGGCTGTGTTTGCGTTCCGCCGAAGAGATGTCTCCACATCAGATGCACCGTCTGCTGGGAGCTGTTTGTCATAAAGATGTCCGCGCTGTGAAAGACAGTGCTATTGTACTGAGGGCTGATAGAGTGGAGACCTTGGATGCTGAGCCGACAGCGTTGGGGCCTGAAAAGGTATTGAAAAGAACGAGGCTGTTAGTCTGACACAATTTATTTGGCATTTCATTCCTTTAATCGGCAGCCTATCCAGCCTGCATTAGTAATTACGAGCTGAAAAGCCTAATTTGAGACGAACACTTGAGAGCCATTACTTGAGCAGCGGAATGAAACATTGAAAGAATTCTAAATAAATTACAACGCTTGCTGTATGGTGTCACGTAGAGGCCATAATAACACACATGTCTCACATGTAGCACATTACTTTCGACACTCTTTCTGTTATTTTCGGAGATGATGACAGCATTGTGTTCTGGCCAGATAGCAGCAGGGGAGTATATTATGATGCTCAGGCACTAACTAGCTTCACTGACCTGGTATCCTTGGGATGGTGATCTGCCTGCTACTGCTGCCTTCCCCTCCCTCTCCAAAGGGCTTTATCTGGATGATATAATCCTCATCGGTGGGCAGGGCGAGCTCCACAGAGGTGGTGTTGGTTTCCATGACGTGGGGGCGGCTGTGTCTGTTCTTCTTGTACAGCACCTGACGACGAGAGGGGTCAAGAGTCAGGCACAGAAGCAACAAACACAATTTTCTGATAAAACCAATAGACTGTGAGCTTACTTTGTAACCTGTGACCTCTGACTCATTCTCGAGGGCTTTGACTCGCTCCCAGTTCAATATAATCTTGGAGTTTGATGTGTTCCAACTCACTTTACCGGGTGGCTGACTAGGCGCTGAAAGCAGAAAAAACACATTATCTATCTCGATGAAAAGCGGAACAATGGCAGAAGGTTATAATTAGATCTGATACTTACGTGGTTTTTTGGTGGTAGCGTTGACGGTGGGGCTGGGAGGCCCTGTTCCAGCAGTGTTATATGCCCTCACTGAGATGTAATATGTGGTGCTGCTTTTTACCCCGCGGATAATGGTAGACGTTTGGTTTCCTACAGTCCTTAGCACACTAGTCGTGTCTTCCCTTTCACTTCTAGTCCAGTACCTCAGCTGAGAAGCAACAGGGCAGAACGGCAGACGTGAACACAGGCAGAAAAAAAACAGACACCTTAAAAGCTTTCTGTTACACCCTGTCAATGAAGTGCAATCCGGAAACAGGACGATGTGAAGTTAACTGGACGGGAGATGGGAAACCTTTCTGAAAACAAGCTTTAGCAGCATGTCACATCGTGTGCCTTTTGCTCACGCGAGCTACAAGCCGCAGTTGTGCTCATCAGACATGTGTCATGCTTTGTGGTAAAAGAGTGAGGTCGTATATTGAAACGAGGGGTACAAAAAAGAGAGGCAAAAACAAAGAATGAGAAGCAAAAAAACCTCGAAAACCCCCTGCCATCAACTTCCACTGATAACAGAGATCCTTCCTCACCCCGCTTGTCAGGGCTGAAATAGCTGGCATGCTTGGCAGCACAAATATAATTTGTCTTTTCTCACAGGAACGGTTTGCTCAGGCCTTGCTCCTCCGTTGACTTTGAGTGGTCAACAATTCATAATTCTGGCACTATATTCAATCCGTTGGATGAAAACAGAAGCTTTGTTCATGTCTTGGATTTCAATAATGAGCTGAATTAAAATGACAAGAACTAACTGAGCGCAAAGCCAGTGTCTGAAACTGCTTTGTTGTGTGGATTAGAAAGCTAAACGTTCTATGCCTTAGAGTATTGCATCAGTACGCTAATCAGGGTGGTTACAGTACTTAGGTAAACAACAAGAAGAACACAACTAAACCCACAGGCATGAGACTAGGCTGGACCATTATGCATGCAGCAAGCTATTATCTGCTATGCCCAGAGTGCATGAGTCTGAAACACTCATTAATAATAGAAGAGAACAAGATTCAACAGCATTATTTGCCATGTGCTTGCACACATTTACATCCGATGGGATCACACACACAAACAAGGTATTACTTTACAGCTCACCTCATAGCCCAGGACTCTTTTCTTGCTGGTGTTCCAGGGCAGAGCTTTCCACAAAACTTCAATCTCGGATGCTGAGAGGCTCTTGGCACGGACCCTGGTGGGAGCTCGGCCAGGCTCTGGAGTAAAAAGCACAGAGACTTCAAAATAACACTGAGCTTTGATGACCTGTCAAAGAAGGAACATCAAAACATTTTCAAAGCGATTTCTTCCATCAAGACAACAGAGGGAGGGAAGTAAGGCAAAGATGTCTGCAAGTGCTGATAGAAGAACGTTGGCTTCATGATCACTGCTGCTACTGTTCCAGACTCGTAAATTACTCACACGTTAATAAGGGCTAAGCAAGAAGAGCTATTCCCTCACAAGTTGTGTATGACATGAGATCATACACACCTTCTTCAGCTGAGTTGATCGTGGTAACAGGTCCGAAAGGCCCTTCCCCCTCATTGTTATAAACCCCAACCTTCACGTGGAAAGGCGAGAAGGGCTGGATGGTGTCGTTTTTAAAGATGTATTTGGATGCCTCGGCGGATGTTACGGCAGCCTGCATCCACCCGGTGGCACCGTGGGGTCGAAAAGCCACAACGTAGCCAAAACCCGGTCCATTTTGCTGCTCCTCTGGAACCGGCTGGGACAAAATAAATACACAGATTAAGCCAAAAAAATAGGTAGTTCCTAAGAAATTCTGAATCTTAAAAAAATCTGAATTCATGACTTTCATCGGGCCAATTTCATTCGGTCTATGAACTGTCTTTATAACTCATGGGCTAAGTTTAAACATGTAATTAAGGACACAACCCTAAGAGGAAAGACAAGGCTTTCCATTTTGAGGCAATGCTTGTAAAACATTGTATAAATATAATATTCTCTACACACAAGAACTATTACTGGACATATCCATTACACAGCATGGTGCCTCTCAGCATGAAACCATAAACTCAGCTGTTGGTCAGACTGATAACATGCGTTAAACATTTATAGATTCAGACTTCACTCTACTGGATACTGGAATTCATTACTTATTTTGTTTCAGCCCTGCCTGGTCTTTAAATCAACCCAATATGGCCTAAACAGACTCTCCTACAAGTGACTCTCAAACATTATTCATGACAATTTATGAATGTGATTTACTTGTGGTGTCCCACAGGGGTCGATACATGGACCCTTTTTTATTCCTCATTAATATGAATCACTTACTTAATCACTGCATCTGTGTGTATGTTTGCCTTTCTGCTGCTGATACTGATTTGTCACTTTCAAATGAACATGAATATCTTTCTTAACATGTTATTAAATCTAATGTAGTGGTATTTGTCATTTTAATTATTTAGCATGCAGTAAGTAAGATAAACATTTATGATATAAATATATACCATAGTTCAATTTACTACAGATTTATTTAACCATTCTTGACATATTACAATTTTGTATGGGCTGCATCCTATTCCATCTTCCTCAATTTGAAACTTTCTTTAGACATTATTGTGAGTTATGCTACAGATCCAACAGCTAGCACCACTCTGCTGTTATTTGAAGTTTTCTTATGTACTCATTATAGATCGTTTCTCTCTTATTAACTGACATAAGTATGTTTTTTGTTTGTATTTTGTTGTAATGTGTTATCATGTGTTGACTTTCTAATGTCTTGTAACATGTGCATCTAAACTAAACTAAACTTAAGCTTTAAGAATTTCAGGGCCGGGACAAAATTGTTGCTTTGTTAAGCAGAAATAAGGTTTTAAAATAACTCTTGCATAATAAAACACCAACACAGATTCTGCCAAACGTCTCACAGCGGGTACTAATGATTTTTAGCAGCCTGAATTAAATATATAAGCCTTTGGAGCTGGACTGATATGCAGGAGCTTTGTAGGGAAAGAAAGAAGGAAGGAAAGATAGAAAGAAAGATGGATAGAGGAAGGGAAAACAATTTGAAAGAAAGTTGGGGTTTCGACAGAGCCATTGAGTTTAATTATCTTATTGAAACCTCAAAAGCATTTTTCTCTCCCCTAGGGTGACAGAAGCAGTTATTGCCTCTCTGTTCTTAAAAATGAAATGCCATACATTAATCTATCCAGCTGTTATTAATGAAACAGAGGCCCAGATCCAAAAAGAATAATAGCGTCTGGCTCTCTCTTCCATGGGTGAAGGGGTCCTGAGCAAGCCTGCTTACCTCCCATGTGATGACTAATTCGGAGCGACTGCCACCGCCTCCACTCACATTAGCTGGTGTGACCTTCGGAGCTGGAGAAAGAAGACGGATCAGCTTAGCCTTGTTGACTTCACACAACGCTGAGAATGCACAAGTAATCTTTTTCCTTGTTGCTACTTCCAAATGGCAGAGAGAGGTAACTTTGTTTTGTTGATATTTGAACTTGTGCATTCAGAAATCCTTTAAGATATCAGCAAACTTCTCAAAGCTGAGTCATGTTTGCCGACATTTCTCGACTGTGATGTTTTTTTAACCAAAAGACTATTGAGGGTCGAAACAGAAAAACAAACAAAGGATATAACCTCTCTGAAGCTTTATCTGGGTACATTACTGATTGCCTTTTTATTTTAATTGTTTCAGTTTCAATAGAATTTCAGTTTTCAACACCAAATCTGCGTTGCAAAGTATATCTAAAATATTTAAAGGTTTTGTTTGCCAAGAGTTTGATGATAAGATTGATACAACTTTATATAAGTACATTAAAAAGCTACAGCTAGTAGACTGTAGTCTGGGCGAAATAGCTCTGTCCAGAGCCAATCTTTGGATTCATCGGCTATTAGTCTTGAAATCAAATATGTCTGAGGTTCTGGTGTAGCCAACGGGTATCCAGATAACTAGCCGAGACTTGCTCTTCTGTGTGCTGGTTAATGTTCACACGCTAATGAAATTAGAGCTGACAGAATATGACCACGACCGGATTGTATATTTTCAGTTGAATGCAGATATCGGATCATAGCAATTAGTTGAAAATAAACTAAATCCGCTTACCAGCCCTAAAGCTAACCAATTCATGTATGCTTTCATTTGTTTATTCCAAACTGAAGTTGAAAAATACAAGTTTTAGTTTTGTGAATTAAGTTTTTGTAATGACTAAAACAGAAAATAAACTGTTGAGGTTTAGAGGTGCTGCTTTTAGCCTTAACGCTAAGATAAGGTAACTAAACTAAGCTAGCATACCATGGATGTATCCTCCTACTTAACAGAATAGACATGAGGTAGATCTTCTCATTAGACTCTTGGCAAGTAAACGTTATCAATATTACTAAGGAATACATTTAAAAAAACAGTCCAACACGAGATATATACGTTTTAGATTTAGTTCTAGATGTGAATTTTACCCTAAAGTTTTTGTAATGACTTAAACTGTTGAGCTTTAGAGGTGTTGTTATTAGCCTTAACGCTAAGCTAAGGTAAACTAAGCTAAACTAACATATCCTGGATGTATGTTAACATTGTCAATATTACAAAAAAAATTAAATCGCCATGGGCTTCAAAATAAAAAGACAGACTAACATGAGATATACATGTTTAAAGAGGCATAAGGAAAGTTGATTTTATTCTCATGCAGTACATACAGGTCCCCTTCGTCCTTGCTTGTTTGGAGGGCTTGCTGGGCTCCCCGGTCCCGATGGTGTTGCCCGCCAGGACTCGATACTCATACTCCACCCAAGGGCTCAGGTCTATTACTGTAGCTGTCAGCCGGTGGCCCCCCACCACCTCAGGAACTGGCATAAAACAAACATTGCCCCCCTTTCAGTTTCAAAACAATGTGTGTGTGTTTTTTCTGTGTGTGTGTGTCAGCTTAGTATCAGCAGTAGAATGTCCTCCGGGCTGACAAACCTGGTAGGACTTCACTACAGGTACACGAGACAGGTGTAACCCCTCACAAGGACACATAATACACACACTAAGAAACACAAACAACAAGACAACAATGGCAAATATTCACCAAAAAAATACAATCACTATTGACTTTCTTATCTGGAGATCATTCTTTAGCCCTTTCTCCATCGTAAAAGGAATAATAGCAAAACACAGTCTTGCTAAAAAAACAGGAAAAATAAATGATTTTATAAGAAATGACAAGAAGTCAATTTTCTCTGTCTACCTGCAAGGTCATCATGTAGTTCTGTTTCAAATATATTATCCTGATGTGGTAAATCAATGAGGCCAGTAAGCCTATCTTAGAACAAAGTGTCCTTAATTCACAAAAATAGCAATACAAAAGGTATACAGTCTGGCATAAATGCACATTATACCAATAATGCATGAATCCTGAGCCCCATTAAAGGGCTATGTGGGGAGGAATAAAATCTTCACTATCACTTAAGTACACTATCAAATAACAGCCTCTGCAACAAGCTCCATCATTATGATGAGATCCACGTTTTCTCTGTATTCCCAGGAGTGCGATAAAATGGCGGTCAATTGTCGTCCTATAATTGTGTAACATTTGAGGTCTGAGGTAAAATTACATCTCCAATATTCTCACAGGCGAGGCAGAATGAAGAGCGGCCCCCTCCATGTGATTGGAGGCGGCCACGGCTGGTTGGAGAGAGCTTACCTGTGGTGACAGCCTGCCACCCGAGGGAAAATGGTGTCCTGGCCTGGATGGTGTATGCCGTAATTGGACTGTGATTATCGGGACCAGGCCTCCAGGACAGAGAGGCTGTGGTATCAGTGATTTCTTCTACTTGGATGCTGGTAGGCGGCCCCGGGGGACCTGATAGATGGCACAGCCAGGCAGGGAGGAGGAAGAGGAAGAGAGAGATAGAGAGGCAGACGGAGAAGAGAGGAAGACGAGTGATGGGGAGGAAATTTAAATCAGGGAGAAATGGGAAGATGGCAGAGAGAGTCACGGTGGTTTTAACACCTGCAGCTACTACAGAGAAGTCATTGAAACCTATGGGAGCCATTTGGTGTAATTAAACAATACATTTCATTTTAACCTTGAAGAGAGAGATTGCCTTTTTTATTCTGTTTTGGTATTTCTTCATAACTGAGGCACAACCAGTCACAGTACATATTAATTTAATATCAAACTCTAGGCTTGTCACAACAACCACTTTTGTTGCACTTTTCCCGTAATAATTGCGACATTCTTGATATTTGATACATAATGCAAGAAGACTTTTTTCAAAAAGCAATGAATATTCTTTTTTGAACAACATTCAAATATTTTAATGTGAAAAAAACAATATATATCACTAATTAAATACAAATGAAATAAAACCACTTAACTAAACCAATGAATGTAATGGACTATGTTATCAAAAATGCACATTGAGGCAAAGTCTATTATTTATAGATGGAACGAAAACCTGTAGCTTATTGGGGCAACATGTTGGTTGCATTTTATGTAAACAAACACAATATCATGCTAAACAAATATTATCCGTGTCATGTCCATATATTGTACTTTAAATAGCTAACGTAAAACAATCAAGGTCATGTCCATGTATAATAATTTGATAACTTGGCCTAACAAAGTCCTTCCTTCTTCTGCACTAGATGAAATGTACGTTATTAAAGTGTTTTCAAGCCTTAAACATTGACAATCTGGTCTTTTTTGTTTTAAATTGAAGTGTGGTGAAAGCAAATGATGAGTGTTGTGGCTCACCTCTGACTACCAAGTCAACAGCGATGGAAATGCTGTCCACCTTGGTTTGCACAGCGCACGTGTACTTTCCCGCATGCCTTAGCTGGATGTTTCGGATCATAATGTCTCCTGCCGAATGTTGCTGTCATTCAAAACACACACACACATACACACACACACACACACACACACACACACACACACACACACACACACACACACACACACGGTTTCGTAAGCAAAATGGTAAGCATACAGCTATTGCAATTCAAAAACACTACTGACTTTTCCAGCCCTTTGGGAGCAAAACCAGCTGAACAGAAATCTCATTCTCATGTATATGTATCTTGAAAAATAAATCCATAATTCTCCGTGCAACCTTTTTCCTTCCATTTTCTGAAAAGGGCACCAGAAATACCTCTCGATATTGAGCGTAATGCATGCTTTTATTTCAGCACTATAATCAAACGAATATAATAGCTTATATCGGTGCAGTATGGAGCCGTTTCATTTAAGGAGCCGTCTAATGACAGGACTGATAGTTGGTTCTTTAGGGGAGCTTTTTATACCATCTCTAATTGCAATCCCCACTTCTACATTATCATTTCATCAGAGCAGAGCCGGTTGCTTAACACATCGGCAAGCTTTGGCACAATGGCAGTTAGAATTCTGTGGAGTGGCTGCTAGCTTAATCAATGTAAGTGCAGATGAACAGCAATTTATTAGAGAGCGGAGACTGTAAATTATGGTATAAGAAGCACCTTAACTGGGGATGAAACGGGAAAGAAAGCTGGTTTTTTTCCCTCTACTCCTGCAGTTTTTGAAGGAGCCTTGCATTTTTTTTGGGGGGGGGAAATAGCCCTGCGTATCACAAGCTGGGATGTAAGCTACAAACCTTTTAAAAAGTATATACCGGCTGACTAAGACTGGTTGCAGGGTGTGTATGTAAATTTATTTTAAAAATAAACCAGAGGCAGCAATTTTCATTCCATAAATAATACACTTGATACAAACATTCCCCCTGCACTGCGGCTGAATTTATTATGACCCTGCTAAAGAAAAAAGAAAGTATATTATTGATGTACCAATGTATCTTCAGTCACCTCTTGACCTTTATTCAATGGAATTTCTGAAGGCGTCTTTTTATGTATCAGAAGAGCACAGGGGCAGTAATGAAAAGAGCATTCTTCAGCATCATGGGGTGGGGATAGTTTTGAGCAGAAGCTGGTGAGGAAGTATTTCCTGTATTGAGTCAAAGGGGCCAACACTGTTATGAAGTTTCATTTGAAGTTCAGAGACAGCTGATAGAGCGGCAGAGGGATTTCTCTATAGCACTTTATCATAATATTTGAAATGGAAACTAAATCACATCAAGGCTTTTCATGTGGCTGTGTGACAGATGAGTCATTCTCATTGCACATCCTGTATTTACAGTTTAATATCAGGAAACATTGCTTGAATACAGTATGTATGAGATCTAACAAATATCTGGTATACATCTAGTGAAGTATTTTTGTATGCAAGACAGCATGAAGGTCACTCAACAATACTAATGAGGCAGCTTCTACGCTCTGAAATTAATATATGTTGACCTCACTCTGACTTTTGTTATGCTAACGTTATCGCTATCAGAAGGTTTGATTATGCTAACGTTACTTTTTAATGCTAACATTTCATTTTTTGGTTTTCTAATGTTACTTTGATTAAGTTACTCTTGCTGTCCTTTTACATCTACTTTGATCTTGTTAACACCTAAATGTTGTTATGGTAACGTTGCTTTTCTTTTTGTTATAGATGCTAATGTTACTTGTTCATAGTTATGCTAACTTTACGTATATAAGAACACAAAAAGGTGATTTGTTTACTACCTGCAAGGTCTTATTTTGTGTATTCTCGCTTATCACTGCTACTAGCTGCTGGTATTTCATGTAACATGTAAGCTAGGTATGTTTGATAGACGTCAACTGTCAATATTGAACAATGTATGTCCAAGTCGTATGTATAAGAAGAGTTTTAGGAAAGTTGCTTCGTACCTAGTGAAAATGTCCATAACATACTAGCCATCATGACAATGCAACTTGATTTTGAACACCTTGCTGCATCTGCATGGTGGTTGTCAGAAAACATTAGATTGTAGACTTACGCCTCCCACTTTTTCAAAGAATCCCTCATGGTTCCCGAAGTAGATGAGCTGCTCGTTGAAGAACCAGGTGAACTTGAGCTCCAGGGAGGGGTCGTGGCTCACTTGGCAGGGCAGGACCACGCTCTCCCCCACGGTGATGTCCAGCGTGGTGGGCAGGGTGGTGATGACGGTCGCCTCTGAAAACACACACCATCAGATTAGACACACTGTTCTGCCCCATTTGTACAGGCATTAGAATTCAGCACAGGAAGGAAATGGCTTTGCAAAAAAAGCCCCTCCATCATTCTTATGGATGTGTCAGACTCAGTTAATAGAAGGATATATGGGACAGAGCTCACAGCAAACTAGGGCGCACAGCTACAATAACTGGTATTAGCTTTCGGCCTAAGCTTGTCTGGGGACTCGGAGACGTTTCTCTCCTCCTGAGAAGCCTCCGTGTGTCTCTGCCAGCTCAGCCTTAAGTCTGGAACTCCTCCGAATCCGCTAGGAAATTCCCAAAACGCACCACACAGCAAACACTTCTTCCAGGCGCCACTACTCTCTTTTCGATCCCTGCACTGCATTACAAAGGCGTCACAAGGGAATAAGGCAAGCGTCCCTTATCTGCACTTGTGTGTGAGCAGCAGAGGAGGAGGAGGAAAGTGGAAGGACATGAGAGCGGCGAGATGAGAGGGAGAGACTTTTGTTCTTTAGTGCAACACACCGGTCTCCCTCTTGGGGGTGCTGTGATGACTTGGTTGAAATTGCCACTCGATGTGTGCACACAAGACTAAATTAAGCATGGCAAATGATCCCTGGACAGGCATAGATTCATGTAGAAAGTGCCGAGGTGCAGTCTTCATCCAGAGTGAATTCGATACCTCCATTGAATTGGCCCTCTTTGCGACACACACACACACACACACACACACACACACACACACACACACACACACACACACACACACACACACACACACACACACACACACACACACACACACACACACACACACACACACACACACACACACACACACACACACACACACACACACACACACACACACACACACACACACACACACACACACACACACACACACACACACACACACACATACATCACTTCAGGGGAAATTACATTGACTTACATGCATTTCCTGGAGACTTATCCTAACCTTAACCATAACCAACACATGCCTAACCCTTAACCTTACCCTAAACCTAACCAGGTCTTCACCCTAAAATTAATGATACCCCTTATGGGGACCTCCAATTTGTCCCCATAAGGGAGGCGAGTCCCCACACGTGACTGTGTAAACATATTTAGGTCCCCACAAGTATAGTAATGCTAGACCACACACACACACACACACACACACACACACACACACACACACACACACACACACACACACACACCACACACACACACACACACACACACACCCCAGCACACGCTCCCAATGTGATTTATCTAGTCGTTTTCTGATACCAGGCCAGAATGCTATCAGCTGGTAGGTGTTGTCATGTACACAATGAAAAAGCACACAGTCCTCTATTGCTGGGGCTAAATGGTGAGCGATGACTGTGCAGGAAGAGTGTAGTAATAACACAAAGGGGTTATTCTTTGTCTGTCTTTTAAAAGGCGACATCCTTGTATGAAAGTCACACAGAAAAAGGGAATAGAAAACACAAATAAATGTTAAGGGTAAGAAATATATTCTCTGTTGTTTTCATGTAGGGAATACACTCAATATGTTTAGACTAGCTCAACTACAAGGTAAACATAAATGCATAATAGGCCTTCTGTAATTTGAGCTAGTGTGAAAACTAATTAGCAAGAGAGCAGAGAGGTGTGCACAGTTATTCAAATAAACAGATGGAAAACAGGATAAATGGTTGAAAAAGATATGAAGGCTAATGTAGCTCCATCTGGACATCCATTTATTCCACATATAAACGCTATTACAGTATTTATTCACTGTACAATATTTCATTTTCCATTCAGTTTTATCTTTTGTTAAGCTTGTTTTATCCTTGCAGCATTGGAGTTAGGGCTGCTCAATTCATCGTATTTTAATCGCAATTACGATTTTGGCTTGCAACGATTACGAAAATAACATAATTGATTATTATTTTTTTGTATTGGTTTTTCAGTTGAATTATACTTAAAGTTCAGGGTAATCAACTGTTGAAAAAATACTGATCAAATGTTTTCAATACATTGATGTTTTCAAAGTAAATGGATAATCGTTTTTAATAATCGTGATATCAATTATTGACCCAAATAATCGAGATTATGATTTTTGCCATAATCGAGCAGCCCTACTTGGAGGAGACTTGGATTTAAGATTGAAATGCCAAAACTATCATGTGCCTTTTGTATATAAGACAAATAAAGCCTGTGAGCCGTTGTGTACCAAACCAACTAAGTGTAAATATCTAAAGGAATAAGTAGTAGTGCAAATACTTGAGTTCCATGAGTGTGTGAACAAATAATAGCATCAATATCCATTTTTGTGTAATAAATAGAATATCCAATTACAAAGCAGATGAAATGAACACAAAGTGGTACTTGAGTTTATCTGGCACAGCTGTAGGGTGCATCTGGCAACACATGGTGAACTGATGTGAGGGAAAGGCAATAGGAGAAAACAGCTCCTGAGGGACGTACAGGGAAATCCACAATCAAAAATTGCACTCCTCTATCCCTGGAAATGCTGTAAACATTCGTCTCTTTTATTATTTCTGCAGCAGAATTGGTGTGTTTGTCTCTTCTCATCATGAACTCCTCTCCTTGTGGTCTCTTACTTCCTCCAGGGATTGACTGTGACAATGACGGTGGGAATATGCTCCCTTATTACCCTCCTCTGTCATCATTGTGACAGATTATATGGACAACCAAGGTTGGTTACACAACCCCACACTGGGCTCTTGAGGATAATTTGATTGATTTCTATCTTGTATAATGCCTTGTTACCTGCTGCCATGGTAAACTCCGGGACAGTAACCCAGTCACTTAGCGGGGTCAATCACAGACGAGCTACAGTGTGTTAACGTGCTGAGACCTCAGGAGGATCTGCTGAGTTTCACTTTGAGATTATGAAAATGGCCGTCTCCAATGTGACATTACATGAAGTAGAATTCTGTCCATAGCCCTAATCATTTTAAACTATCCTCTATTACACAGCTTCTCAAACTTTTTTCAGTAATGTACCCCCTTTGAAACATTTTCTCAGCCAAGTACCCCCTGACCGACCCCGAAGAAGTATTAACTCCTTCATGTATTACAGCAAACTAAGGATATTTTCATTTTATGCATGAAAAAAAATAACGACATTTTTTTAAAACTGATTTTTCCAAGGAAGTAATATCTGTTTAACAAACCAATGAACAAAATGATATATTATGCAAAACTATAAAATACAATACACACATTTGACGTGTTTATATGAGGACCCCCTTGGTGGTTCTATGAATATTTTGTATAAAATTGTGTTTTCTATTTAACTTATTGTAACCTACTAAGATTTTTGTAATCATGCATGGTATTTTTTTAATCAACTTTTTTTAGTTTTCTTAAATCTCACGTACCCCCTGCAGTACCCCAACGTACCCCTAGGGTCCGCGTACCCCCATTTGAGAATCACTGCTCTAGAATTGGAAATCACGACCCTAAAGCAATATCACAATCTGGAAAAATCTGATATTGATGCAATCAGGAACCCATTTATTGAACATTTAATTAATAATCCTCACTCCTTTAAGGTCCTGCTACTATTTACATGCCCCCCCCAGAGGATACATGACTATTATATCGTTACTCATATCATTTTAATTATAATTTTTTTCATTTATTACTCTCTTTTTGTCTAACACAGACACACACACACAGTAAGACACACACACTGTTTTTATTTTATTTTTGTCTCCATGTATATTTTGTAGGGGTGCACCGAATGGGAAATTCTTGGCCGAAACCGATACCGAAAATAGGAAACAGTTGGCCGAAAACCGAATGCCGAAAATGATTAATAGAAATATATATATATAATGTATACATCTTTTACCAATGTTGTTCAGCTACCTGATTATGGAAATAGACATGATTATGGCAAAACTTAACTTAAATAATAATCACTATTATGGGTCCATAAAACATTTATTTAGCACTTTTGAATGCATACAGTACATTTATATATGTCATGTATTATTGCTAAAAAACATTATATCGCAGTCTTAGTGTCGCCAACTCGTTTCTAATATGCAAAGACAACAAATGCGTCTATGATGTATTTTCGATCAGACGAGATCTCTCTCCCCGGTCTGTGTGCGAGGGGGCGGGGCAGTTTACACACACGCAGCTGCTACATGCAGCGGAGCACACTGCGGAGATGGCGGAGAGAACGCGCTCCGAGGTGTGGTTAAACTTTACCCGTCTCGATGTGGAGAATACTTGTTACCATAAGTGCAATAAGAGTTTAGCATGTAAGCACGAGCAATTTGTCTAAACATTTAGCAAAAGTGCACCGCATGCAGACGGAGGAATGCACCGGGTTCGACCGTCTTTCTAGCAGCTCTGTAGCCCCATCCACGAGTAACGTTTCCACGTCAGGTGTTATGTATGCTAGCAGCACCACACGGAGTTAACTACATTATACAAACATGGGTTAATGATTAGAGGAAACTGAGTTATTTAGTTTGTTAAAATTTCCGAAAGCCGAAAGGTCCTTTTTAACCATTTTCGGCCGATAATTTTCGGTGGCCGAATATTCGGTGCATCCCTAATATTTTGTCAGTTGTTATTTGTCTTTACTTGTAAATTCGCCTTACTGTCTTCTGTGTATATGTCACACTGTACTTGTATGCAGTTGTCTTGTAACTCCTATATCAATAAATAAAAAATTCAAATAAATAAATTCAAATGTCTGTCTCTCCACAGTCACGTTTAGTAACACATGTCACCTTGTTTAACATGCATTATCATCCATAATTAAAAGCGTCAAACTACTGTGTGTCGTGTGAACTGAATACATAATAAAGGCTCAAAGCATGATTTCTCCAACCATGGATGAAAGTATGGGAATAAATTACACTCGTACTAATCTCTAAGTGGTGGCTGGACCATTCGTGACTCAAGCTTTTGGAGTGGTTTTATTAAGATTTAAGGACTAAAGGAGATTGGCTGCAA